ACAGATCCGACGCCATTTGAGCACATAGAACAGGCAACGCTACGACCTTAAACATTCAATGAGGATAAGAAGGCGAGAGCTGCTAAGAACACAGTTGAACACGTCGGCGAAAAGATCACCAAGCGAACAGTTATCACTAATATATTTGGAAATGCATCATCACAAAGGCTCAACGATGGAGCTAGGTGGTAGGGTGCGTGCTAAACGCTAGCTAAAATGCCATGCCTGTAATATGAGTGCTGCAATCCCGAGATGGCATATCTGCCCCACGAGCGGGATTAGCCTTTTAAACGGCCAAATAGGCCTTTGAGAGGTGCAGTGACTGGCCCTTTGCTCCTCCGTATTGCCTTAGCCTTCCCACGGTTGAGTTTATTATTTCCAAAGAGAGTCTCTTTTATCTTGGAGGCAACCCTTCTTTTTGAGCCACCATTCCCTTCTATCAATATGCCAGCTTATATTCACCATGACTGCTCCTGGTGAAGACGTCCCGAAAACGCCGGTGGTAGCCTCGAGTAGAAGAGCACCCCCTCTGCGCTCTTCAACGACAGATATAATGCCGCCAAGGTCATATAGAGGTAGCATGAGCGGGGATATTCAGAAATCGGCATAATTCAGTTTGGAGATGAGTTCACTCGTTAGGGCTCTCGACCCTCCACAGAATGAACCGTATGGATGAGAATATGTTCACCAGGAGGCTGGACCAGACCCTCACTAGACGGTGATTGACCTCTTCCATGTTAGTCCAAGATACATGCTTGTATAATAGGCTGAGCAAGGCTTATGATCCTAACGCTAACGATGGTACTCTGAGTCCGAGATCCAGAGCCCAACTGTCGTTGAGAGTTCGGAATATGAACAGCATGTCGATGATAGGGTCTAGGTAGCACTATCTAATACATTATTTCAAGTTGAATCACTTTGCTTCGCAGCGAGCGGCGACTTGAGGCCCTGTTCGGTCCGGTTTCTGGTAGCTTCCAGGCAAGCGATGTTCTGCCGTTTGCTGTGTCACCGGCACCTTCAAGCATCATTGCTGGCAACCGCGGAGCCCTGGGTTCTTCAGCAGAGGACGAGGAAGATACAATTAACAGGCTCACTAAGAGGCACATACCCTGGGTGGCATTGGTAAGAGGCTACGACCACACATGATAATGAGTCTGGCCAGTTGCTGTTCTTGTCACTGGCGGTGGTAGTGTTCGTATCTCTTTGGGATCCGCGACAGGCGAGGGAAGATGTTCATCGTACTAAACTGGAGAAGTATAATATGTTCATATCGTCTCCATTGTGAGTATTTCTTCACCCGTCTTCTTTGAACTCGAAGCAGGTATGTGGTCAGCCCGGATCAGAACCTTACTTTACCCTTCGAGCGGGATGCAAAGGCCGTCGATATCAAGGTCGTGGCTGCCAAGGTAATCTTATGTGTCCCGACATTGCCGGAGACTGTGAGTTCGTCCCATTTCTAGGACAGGCAGACGGCAGTGGTGAGTGTGGGTGGTCGTGGGGAGGCAGAGAGGAACGCCGAGACCTCTGGAAGGCTACTCCGCTGGCAGTTGTGGTATGATCCTACTCTCGCGGACCCATCGGAAGGGCAACCGAAAAGACGGTTGGCTGGTACAATTACGCCGATCAGCATCTGCCCTGTTAGTTGTGATCAGGTACTGAAGAACAGGTGATGCTGTATACCAACTCTCTACCATTGGCTACTAATGTGGAGACTGAGTTCTTTGAGAATGTTGACCTTGTGAGCAGACTACCTTTCTTCCGACGTGTCTTTCCATGCCTCATTAGGCCCGCCATGATGGCTCTTTCGAACTAGGTTCCTCTGTATGATGATAATGATCTCCCTACTGATAATGGACATATGCCGTTGAAGCTAGTGGTGTGGGTGCAAGGCCAAGGGCCATCACTCTCCTTTCTATTCCAGCCCATGATCTTAGGGAATTTTGCGCGATACAGAGCACTCATTGCAGGTAATCTGCTTCTCTCGAAAACGCTCTCCGATGGTGTTGAGGTATACGCACTTGCTTGGAGTAGCTCCAATGGAGGTCCCGTACTGCTGTTGCTGAAAGGGCTTCTTGATAGGTATCTTGTTCCTCTGTACGTTCATCCTCATCATAACAGACTTGATCCATCGGGTGTAGGCCTCCTCTTTGCCCTCCCTCCATCATCATCCTAGTAGGTATGCTACCTTCATTGGCTCCATGTTGGGCCTCTTCCTGATAGCCATAATGCATCACGTCCCCGAATTGGAGGACATCATAGCTATGATCGACTTTGGCACCCTCATGCTGCTCTTCAGTATGATGGTTAATGTGAGTTGTAGCATCAGCGGCTCCCCTACTATGTACCTCTCAGGTCCACCTGTTGGCCCTCACTGGATTCTTTCAGTACATCGCGGCACGGATGGTCATACTGGCGAGAGGCCGTGTGACGCTCCTCTTTTTTCTCCTCACAATGTCTACTGGGGTGACAAGAGTCCCTAAGGCGATTACTAAGGATAGCGATCTATTGCAGATCCTGTCAGCCTTCCTCGATAATGTAACGACAGTCATGCTGGTGGGCCCTGTTACCATATCCCTGTGCAAAGAGATTAAGAGGAGCCCTGTGCCATTTTACTTCTCGGAGAGTATATTGGGTAATATCCTTCTTGCGGAGTGGCTCTGGTGTCGGCGGACTATGCTTCGTTGGATGCAATGGAGTGTAATCGGTAATCTCAGCTGTAATCGGTGGTACCGCAACGTTGATAGGAGATCCAGCTAATGTGATCATCGGGTCCAAGCTTGATGTCTCCTTCACCGACTTCATCGTGTAGGTTGACTCATAGTACTATCCTCACCAGGTGAGGCTCGCCTCGGTGGTCGATCAGTTACAATGGTCCCCTGGTGATCTTACTTCTACCGATTGCGGCAGGGTTATTGTACCTACGGTTTAAGTCTGAAGTGTCGGGTAGGGTAGTCCTAGATGAGGAGAGGATAAAAAGGGAGAATATCATACACGACAAGGTGAATCGTTACTTGGTCACGACCCGTAGTGTGGCCTCTCCTACATCAAGCGGCTTTGAGTGGAATGGTGCATCTGGCTATTCGGAAGCCTTCATCAGGTTGCCTTCGCCCAGGTTGGATCAATATTCATCGCGATCTTCTTAGCCCTGTGTCTTTCCCCAGTAAGCGAGTTGGAGAAGAATCAATGCCTCTCAAAGTTGCCCAAAAGGCCGCTATCTATCCACAGTGATGCGCTGTCAAGATCCATGGTTACGAGGCGGCATGGTTCACTCTCCTCGGGATGTACGTTGGCTGTATAATCCTCTCACCTCATGACTTTCATCGAGTCCTGGAGGGTGTCGAATGGGATACCCTCATCTTCTTTGCCAGCCTCTTTGTCCTCGTAGAGGCCGTCAACGAGCTTGGCCTCATACGGTGAATTAGTTGATGCCTCTATGGACAGCCAGTGGCGACATTCCTTCAGTGCCCTCGGAGATCTCATTACCAACATTATCACATCCATTCCGTTGCCCCATCGGCTCTGGGTCTCCCAACTACTCATCCTATGGATCTCTGCAATCGGCAGTGCTTTCCTCGAGAATCTACCGTGGGCCTGTCCTCTACGGCTGAGATCCTCAATTGGAGCATGTCCTGTACAGATACACCACTACAGTGGCGTACATCCTCATCAATCTCCGTGGGAAAGCCGACCTGGGCATCCCAGTCACTTCCCTTTCTTATGCCCTCTCCGGTAGCGTGCCGTTCGTGTACTCCACGACGGAACATGTGCTTCAGTCGGTGCCTGTATCGGCGGGATTGGTTCCATAATGGGGAGCAGTGCGAATCTGGTCTGTGTAGCGATCTCTCAGAGGTAGTCACCCTGTACTGACACTACAAGCATATCATGTGTTAGAGTCACAGCATGCAGCCCGTTGTACTTGTCTGCTCTCCTCGAAGGTACTCCACCGCCCCAGACGATGCCGTTGGCCAGTCGGATGATGAGCCCAAGTTGGAGGCAGCAGATGACGATCGTCCAGCGTACACGTCTACTGGGGGTGTAGACGTTAATGAAGTCCACCAAATGGAGGTCAACCGAGCGCTATTTGGCCCAGGTGGGACTTGGGATAGAAAGCTGTGTGTGACGTGCTACTCAGATGAGGTGACGAAATCGGCAGCCAACGAAAGCCAAGAAGTTGTCCATGAGCCAGTGAAGAGGCATCCAATAGCCCAGTATAACAACGTGGAAGCGAAGTGCGTACATGTCGAGGGGGATTCGATTACTCTGCTGCAGGCACTATCTTCAATATGGTTTTCCACTCCTACTCTGTCTTATGGTCATATGCAGCATATATCAAGTTATTGTCTTCGAGGCTATGTCGGCTTAGCTCTTTGCCACTACCTTCTCCCGACTGCTGATTCCACTCCCCCTCTAACCGATACTAGATGCGTGTTATGTTTACTTACAATGGTCGTATGATGCGGCTCAGATTGAATGAAGACAGAAGCATGGTCAACATGTCGTAACGTTAGCGTAATTAACGTCTCGTGGTCTGTCATGTGCTGTTGTTGTCAATTGAAACGGTTAGTTGGAGGGTCTTCCCGGTAGCTCAGGTGGTTGTAGGGAGCATTGTGGATCGCTGCCCTGTGATGACAGACGTGCTCGGCGGTGATGCTAACTAATTAATTCTGGCCAATGTTACCTCGTTTATACGTAGTGCATAACGGTTCCTGGCATTGAAGCCAACTCTCAGCTTTACAGTAAAAGTATACATTGAGAGTCACCCTTCAACCAGTGCGCCATTGGTTCATTTCCACCATGGTTGTCTCTGCTGAGAACAGCCCGCGCGCGTCGGAGTCGGCCTCGAGCCAAGAAGCGCCCAGCCCACGCCCTTCAACAACGGATATACTACCATCAAGGTCTATGCCCTATAGGAGTAGTACGGGCGGAAGGCACCCGAGACTCAGTAACCGTAACTATCTGGTAGGGCTGTCGACCCTCCACAGAATGGACCGTATGGAAGAGGATACGTTCGCTAGGAGGTTGGACCATACCCTCACTAGACGGTAATGGGTGTCTATCACCTCGATGAGAGTTACTGTATATTAGGTTGAGTAATGTCTTGGATGCTGCTAACGATGATACGCTGAGTCCAAGGTCCAGGGCTCAACTGTCGTTCAGAATCCGAACTATGAAGAGCACGCCGATGCTAGGGGCTAGGTACCGCTATTCGATGTACTTCCCCGTGGATCGACTGGCCTCCCTTAACAGTGAGCGGCGACTAGAGGCCGTGTTCGGCCCCGTACCTGGTAGCCACCAGGGAGGTGATGTCTTGCCGTTTGCTGTGTCACCCGCACCTTCAAGCATCATCGTTGGCAACCGTGGGGCCCTGGGCGGCCCAGCAGAGGACCAGGAGGATACAGTTAACAGGCTCACTAAGAGGCACATACCCTGGGTGGCATTGGTAGGAGGCTACGACCACACATGATAATGATTCTCTCCAGTTGCTGTTCTTGTCACTGGCGGTGGTAGTGTTCGTATCTCTTTGGGATCCGCATCACGCCAGAAAGGATGTTCATCGTACTAAACTGGAGAAGTATAATATGTTCATATCGTCTCCATTGTATGTTCTCCTACCCCTGTCCTCTGCGAGCTCTACGCAGGTATGTGGTTAGCCCGGGTCGGAACCTTACGTTGTCCTTGGGTCGGAATGCAAAGGCCGTCGATATCAAGGTCGTGGCTGCCAAGGTACTCCTGTGTGTTTTCGTATTGTCGCAGACTCCAGTTTTCTCTTCTGCTAGGACATGGAGGAATCAGTGGTGAGTGTAGGTGATCATGGGGAGGGGGAGGGGAACCCCGAGACGTCTGGAAGGCTACTCCGCTGGCAGTTGTGGTATGATCCTACTCTCGCGGGCCCATCGGAAGGGCAACTGAAAAGACGGTTGGCTGGTACAATGACGCCGATCAGCATCTGCTCTGTTAGTTGTGATCAGGTTCTGAAGAACAGGTGATGCTGTATACAAACTCTCTACCATTGGCTACTAATGTGGAGACTGAGTTCTTTGAGAATGTTGACCTTGTGAGTAGGTTGCCATTTAAGGGTGTCTCTCGGGGGAAGTCCCTTCGAACTGATCTAGACTTCCTATGAGCACCCTCCTAGCCAGGTTCCTTTGTTCGATGAGAATGATATCTCTACGGATGGTGGACCATTGAAGCTAGTGGTGTGGGTGGAGGGTGAAGGTGCACCACTATCCTTCCTGCTGCAGCCCGTGCCTCTAGGGAATCTGGCACGCTACAGAGCCCTTATAGCTGGTAGGATCTCTGTAACGGTGCGCTCATGTAGAGCTGTGACCACTCGCATGGACGTGTCGTGCTGGCATGATGCTTCTGTCAGGTATCTTGTTCCTCTCTACGTTCATCCTCATCGTAACAGAGTTGATCCATCGGGTGTAGGCATCCTCTTTGCCCTTCCTCCATCATCATCCTAGTAGGTATGCTACCTTCATTGGCTCCATGTTGGGCCTCTTCCTGATAGCCATAATGCATCACGTCCCCGAATTGGAGGACATAATAGCTATGATCGACTTTGGCACCCTCATGCTGCTCTTCAGTATGATGGTTAATGTGAGTTGTAGCATCAGCGGCTCCTCTACTATGTACCTCTCAGGTCCACCTGTTGGCCCTCACTGGATTCTTTCAGTACATCGCGGCACGGATGGTCATACTGGCGAGAGGCCGTGTGACGCTCCTCTTTTTTCTCCTCACAATGTCTACTGGGGTGACAAGAGTCCCTAAGGCGATTACTAAGGATAGCGATCTATTGCAGATCCTGTCAGCCTTCCTCGATAATGTAACGACAGTCATGCTGGTGGGCCCTGTTACCATATCGTTGTGCAAAGAGATAAAGAGGAGCCCTGTGCCATTCTACCTCTCTGAGACCCTTTTGGGTGAGAGCTGACTGCCCTCATTCGTCAACTACATTGTGGTGAGCAGGGGATTGATTGATGCTTCATCCCTTCAGCTACTGTCGGTGGTACCGCGACATTGATAGGAGATCCACCTAATGTTGTCATTGGATCCAAGCTCGATGTCTCTTTCACCGATTTCATCATGTAGCTATAGCAGTGGCTTGCAGCAAGGTGAGGCTCACCTCGGTGGTCCATCAGTTACAATGGTCCCCTGGTGATCTTACTTCTACCGGCCGCGGCAGGGATATTATACCTACGGTTTAAGTCTGAAGTGTCGGGTAGGGTAGTCCTCGATGAGGAGAGGATAAAAAGGGAGAATATCATACACGACAAGGTGAATCGTCACTTGGTCACGACCCGTATTGTGGCCTCTCCTACATTGCAATCGGCTCTTAGTGGCATGGTGCATCTGGCTATTCGGAAGCCTTCATCAGGTTGCCTTCGCCCAGGTTGGATCAATATTCATCGCGATCTTCTTAGCGCTCTTCCTCTCTCCGGTAAGAAGCGGCCGGATGGCCGTCGTTTGTCCGGGACGTTCAAAGGCGAATGTCAAAAGTCTCCTTGGGGAAGCACCTCTAGACTCGAGGGCACGAGGTATATGTTTTGAGGTATAAAAACTGTAGTCCTCTTAGAGTGAATTGATCAAGAAGCACAACCTGTGACAAAAGTTCTATCTCCTTGAATCCAGACTTCTTATACGTCAATGAAGGCTTATCAAACTTCTCGAACCAAATGAATCATTAAAAATAGAAGCCGGTCTGGGAGTCGAACCCGCGACTGAGCGATTCAAGACTGAAGAAAAAATCATGGGACTTTCACGATCGAAGGGATTGGTGGCTTCAATCTGAAGCCAGATATTGAACTCTCCAATCGGGAGCGGAGGTGAGGTAAATTTGGCACGAAGGCTGGCAAATCTTCCCGTAACCCTCAGTCGAGGAGGTTGAGCAACTCAACCTCAGTTCCTAGCTTGAATCCTCAAGAACCGTCTTTGGAAAGAATAAAGGGCTTCTTGAGAAGGTTGAGTGTTCTTAGAGCTTCTTAGAGTTCTTAGATCATAATGATCCATTCCCCTCTTTAAGATCCATGGTTACGAGGCGGCATGGTTCACTCTCCTCGGGATGTACGTTGGCTGTATAATCCTCTCACCTCATGACTTTCATCGAGTCTTGGAGGCTGTCGAATGGGATACCCTCATCTTCTTTGCCAGCCTCTTTGTCCTCGTAGAGGCCGTCAACGAGCTTGGCCTCATACGGTGAATTAGTTGATGCCTCTATGGACAGCCAGTGTCTACATTCCTTCAGTGCCGTCGGAGATCTCATTACCAACATTATCACATCCATTCCGTTGCCCCATCGGCTCTGGGTCTCCCAACTACTCATCCTATGGATCTCTGCGATTGGCAGTGCTTTCCTCGAGAGCCTACCGTGAGCATCTCCCGCGCGACGTCGACAATCCATCGAACTGCCTAGGTATACTACTACAGTGGCCTACATACTCATCAATCTCCGTGGGCAAGCTGATCTGGGGATCCCAGTCACGCCTCTCTCCTATGCCCTCTCCGGTAGCTGGACGTCTATGCGTCTCTCGATGAAGCACGTTGTGCCGCTTTAGTCGGGGCCTGTGTTGGTGGTATTGGCTCGATCATGGGAAGCAGCGCTAATCTGGTCTGTATTGCGATTTCTCAGAGGTAAGTACCTTGGTGGTGTCTACAGTATCGAATTTGCTAGTATCATAGTGCGCAGCCCTTACTGCTTCTCACCATCTCAAAGGTACTCCACCGCCCCAGATGATTCAGCTGGTCAATCGGCTGGTGAGCCCAAATTGGAAGCAGTTGACGAGGATCGTCCAGCGTACACGTCTACTGGGGGTATAGACGTTAATGAAGTCCACCAAATGGAGGTCAACCGAGCGCTATTCGGCTCAGGTGGGACTTGGCATAGAAAGCTGAGTGTGACGTGCTATTCAGATGAGGTGCCGAAAGCGGCAGCCAACGGAGGCCAAGAAGTTGTCCATGAGCCAGTGAGGAGGCATCCGATTGCCCAGTATAACAACGTGGAAGCGAAGTGCGTACATGCCGAGGGGGATTCGAAACACTCTGCTGCAGGCACTATCTTCAATATGGTTTTCCACTCCTACTCTGCCTTATGGTTATATGCAGCATATATCAAGTTATTGTCTTCGAGGTTTTCGGTGCTGCCAACGATATGCCGTCCTAGTCCTTCTGTCTACTATCACCTCCCTGACTACAGATGCCTTACGGACATTAGATGCATCTTACATAGAAAAGCCGTTCCATGTTGGTCGGAGTGAATGAAGCCAATGGCATGGAGAATTCTTGGCATGTGATGACGCTACTGTTATATTTGTCTCGCGGTTTGCCATGCATCTTCGTTGTCAATTAACCACCGGTAGGCCTTGCTGATTTGGTCTGAGGCAGAGCTGCTTACTCTCTGCCACTAGAACAACAGCATAACTTCCCGTATGGTGTGATGAGCATTTGATAGGAGGAATCGGCAGAAGATATTAAAGACGTTTTTGGTCTAGACCAGAAGAAGTCTCCGAGAGGGTGGTGGGAAGGTAGGTTCAGCATTTAGTACAGATAACGACGCCACAGAGTTTCTGTGTATGTGTTGCCGAGCATTACGGGCTACTGCGATAGGCCAGTAGGTCACTGGCCTACTGGCCCAACGCCCTTAAACATACGATCGCCGACTCGTGTGTTTGGAGGCTCAACGACAGCTCCCCAAGAAAGCAACGGAAAAGGGGAAAATGGAAAATCTGTTCAACAATTTGGCTTGTACAGTGGGGTAGAATCTATTAAAGTATAGTCTCTGTGACAGAGAGTACCATGGCATGCAAACTGTAACATAAATATACCATCAGCCACTTTAGCTTAGTGGTAGAGCGTCTGCTTCGTAAGCAGAAGGTCGTCAGTTCAATCCTGGCAAGTGGCTTATACACCTCCGAGCAACTTGTACGATGCCGCTACGCTCGACGTTGAGAGCTCTCTTGGCCAGGCCAAATAATGGGGTTCGGGGAATCACTGCTACGGTTCTACCTCAGATGCTCCCTCTGGAAGAAATCCTAGGGCTATCGTTGCCTCCATAGCCGCTAGGCTCCATGGTCGTTTTCAGACTCCCTTTGATGTTGAGTTACCTACCTCAACAACCACCTTGATGATGAGTTCCTGGAAAAGCATGTTGGCAGGCGAACAATTAACGTGGTGCAGCCACTTCTCACAGTGAAGCCGAATGGTGTATAATACAGAGCAGTTGAAGGAAAGCATACGAAAATCTAACATCCAATTTGGGAGGAACGAGAAGCCGACGTAGTCACCACCGAAATCAGCCTTGTTATACTAATTTCAATTCAACCATAGGTACATATCGGTAGCCGCGGAGTCATTCGTACCGCATGTTATTCACCCAGCTGACATCAGCGCACACAAGCATAACGCGGCGTAAGATAGAACAGCCTCCTCACTTCAAGATGCAGTATTGACTCGTCATGTCGCGCCACTCAGGTTTCTGCGGAAATCGAACATCCATCTCGCTCAACATGATGCACTCGATCCCTATCTCACCGATCGGCAAAGCAGCATCAGCAAGGCAGCATATACCCTGGGAGCTATCACTGGAGATGCCGAGTAAGATATAGATATATGTGGAGGTCACGGTACCCCTCAGTGGGGGATCGGCCGGACGGGACGCAGACAGGCAGAAGCAGGACTTAGAGAGCACACACTTCGTTTTGGGATACCACACATCAACGTACCGAAGCATGTATGAAGGGGAACATCGGGTATGGCCTCAGGCCGAGGGTGTACCAGTCTGTGGCGAAGGGATATCAAGAAGCAATGTGCAAGGCGTTACTGAGCGTATCAGGAGGTGGCGATCAAGGGTCTACTCTTGGTGCACTAGTAACAATAGTGTTCTCACTTGGTCACTCACAGATACGGTCGTTGGCACGGCAGAGGAGCAGGAGGCATCCACCAAACGTGAGCCGTCCATAAGTTTCGGCACAGATGCCCCGACGTAGGAAACTGAAGTCGTCTGTGGAGGGCTGCCATTGATTGCCACAAGCCAGGTACAAATCAACCTTGGCTGCCGCCCTAGTAGACCACACCAAGGGAGGCTCGACGAGTACAGGCGCTGATCCTCGGGCCGCCAGGTGAGGTCCTTTACCGGTCCTCACGCTCTTCATCATTTCTCCCTCAGAGAATGCGCGGCGAGGCTTCGGATGAGTAATTTCAGTCTAGGGGGCTACTCCAAGCGCCCCCCTGAATACGACACAACAACAGCCACTGCTCACGACTAGAAGGTCCGCAGACCCTATCTTAGACTCCGTGTATATTCCGGACTAGGTTCATCACTTGGCTGCTGGCCAAGGAGGAAAGGAGACATCCTCCGTTGGAGCCGACGTCAAACGCCGCAATTACAAGGCCAATTTCCACCTGGGCAGCGACAGACCTCTGTAGGGATGTCGATCAGCATCAGAGCCCATTCTCGATCCCATGCAGTTACACCTCCGAAACAGCGCAGCAGTACTCCGCCAACTACCAGGAACTTGTCGAGGCCTGCAAGCATCCACGGGCAATCAGTCAGGCCGAGAAAGATGACCTACGTCGGCAGCATTTCGTAGGGCTCGGCTCGATAGGGTATGAGACCAGTTGGACGATTTGACAGGTTTTTGGTATGCGACACTGCGACGAGGATGCCAGGAAGGAAAGGATGGAGAGCATCTCCGCCGCGGCGTACCGTTATGACATCAGTTCAGCTCCTCACCGACTGTGATAGGTACAAGGACCACACCAATTCGATGGTCGCTGGCAACGCTCGAGAAGATATGCTCAGGGTAGGCGAGCTACTGTACTCGAACTGATGAGAGAATACTGTTACTTCAGTTGAAGGCAGAACTTAGAAAGCCCAATTTCTCACTTGCCAGTCTGTCACAGAGTTCGGCTGGGCTTGGCGTACCGCGTAGCGTAGCTAGGGCAACGTGGGTCCAAGGACTGAGAGGATGGTCGCGACGGTGAAGTAGCTGTTGTTAGGTACACTCAGCCACCGGTATCTGCTTATCTGGAGGGAGCCGATCCCAATGTCCGGGAAGAACGCAAGAACGAATTAGAATCAGCGTAGGACTCTGATAAGATCATCTTATGGATGATATCAGCAATAGACATGATGCGGCTGACAGGCACTTCGTGTTCGGGGTTGGCAGAGAAGAGGACCTGCGCAACTTACGGTCATCGTCAGTGGCTAACACCTCCTACGGGCCCATCCCAGCTCATGCGTGAGTCTAATAGACGATAACGGTGGCATGCTGAGTGTTACACTACATTACAGGTACGCTCAGCGTGGCCTAGACCCCCACCTGCAAGCGGATTTGAGGTCACATCACTTCGAGCTGGGCGTGCCGGGAGGAGTTATGGGAACGGCGGCAGGTCGACTACCAACGACAACCTCGAGAGACGCTTACAGGTTTGTACTTGATCGAGCGGCGTACATACGGACTCTGTTGGTTAGAGAAAAATACCGCTGTTGGAATTGTCCTATTCTTTGTATCCACTCCTTAGGAGAAATGATGATGCTAAACCAGCGAGAATGCCTGAGGACGTTCGGAAAGATCTGCGGGCATCTCATTTCCAACTTGGCCCGAAGACCGCTAATCCGGAGAACTGGCTGACGACCCAGGTCGGTCCGATGCGGTACACCTCGGTGTGGGCATGACCTCCTCCTGCAGGCTCAGTCGATGGTACCTCATCCTCCTCAATCAAATGAGCTCGACAAGGCGCTGAAGGCAGATCTTAGGGCTTCCCATTTCAGTATCGGTGCCCTCGGGGATGCGGAGAAGGTAACGGGCCACCCCTGCTCGGACCGCTTGCAACCACTATTCAATAGCAGGCTCGATCGATCACCCGGACATCCTATGTTTGGCCTGAGCTGAACCTAGACGTAGCCACCTGCTCTGCTGCTGAGAGCACATGAGTTGTTCTGCATTTACCCCAGGAAGTGTGGTCATGGAGTTGTTCCCTCATCGTGGTGTATTGAGTTCTGTCGAATGGATGGGACCACCTCCTCCTAAAGGAATGACGGGTTGTGACGTTACCCGATGTTCGTTGCAACTGATAGTGTACTTAACACTCATAGAGCGCGCAGTATGGAAGATTCTGTTCTGAGAAGGCGTCGGTCAGATACGATTCCGAGCGCAGAAGAGAAGCATTTTTAATATCAAAGGCTCCAACAGGAAAACCCCACCTTCGTCATCAAGCAGCACTTCTATCGTGCCAATAATCATCTGCAGTGTATCCCTACTAATAATAGAACGACTCCACCTGGCAATCCCCAGCCAATTACTATCATGTCCCAAGCCAGAAGCAGACAGCCCGACTGGGCAACTACACCTAGTCTTGATCAAACAGGTACCAACGGAGTTAGAGGATGGTCACAAAAGCCGCCAAGTTGGGAAGAGGTCATGCATTGGGGATGCTCCTATGCCTATGGCACTCCTTCCGTGTTCAAAAGAGCCACATCTTCCCGCCCCTTCGGAGCAGTGCCATTGCATCGATTGGTCATCTCACGAACGCTCATTGAGTGTATAAGCTCCGTTGGTCTGTGTTTTCTGCCGAAGTTGTAGGAAGCCCACCATACTTTAATGATGCATACATTTGCTGAGGTTTCCCAAGCGAGCATGGATGTTGCAACCCTCGGATGCGCCTTATCTAAAGAAGGGCGTAGATAGTGGTGATGACTCGCGATTGTTATGGTTGAGTAAGTATCACGAATTCGCCATCAATTGACATAATGCGAGTGTACAATGAAACAAGTTTGTTTTCTCATCTCATCCGGCAAAAGGAACAAAACTGACGAACACAATAGCCGTGTGATTGAAATGTTCCATGTTCATTGTCTACTTCTAGTAAAGTCTTAACGTGGTCGCTCTTCTGTGGCAATTCTGACTAACCGGCTCGCCAGGCATATCTGCTAAACTTAACGAGAAAACAAGAGCAGAAGCGTATGGCAAATCCTAGACCTCCGTCGTACCGTCTCTGATGGAGGTGATAAACCATCTGTTAGTGAGCAGACACCCTCCAATGCTCAAGTACGCACTATCGTTCATCTTATTTCACATCCTGTCGGATACTCACAGTCTGGAACCCTCAACCAAGCACTCCTCGCTGCGGCCACATAACGGTAGTTCGGAGTGAGTTCGGAGTAGTTGACATGCTGACGTTGCCATATTGCGCTGCAACTCCTGGTACACGCTGAACGTGAAGAAGACGCTCTACCAGCTGGCGGGCCGTCGCCCTGGAACCTAGGCACTCTCGAGTCCGATCTTCTGATGGACTTGAGCATCTCTCCAGTGAATGCATAAGATACCTCGATATCCTCGCTGTACCCAGCAACTAGGACACCCCCAGAGCCTGAGACATAGCTCATGCTGTTAGTAGAACCTTCTCAGCACTGAGGAACGCGATACGGAGGGGAGAGTGGAGATTAGAACAAAACGAACTTGAGCCAGATGGCTACGGCTCAACACGGACTCATGCGTGCACACTATCACTAACTCGTTATTAATTGCTTATATACCACGCTACCGGAATCCCAAAGATCATCAAAAACCATACCCAATATCTGTCATCACCACTGGTTGACCAACCGTTTCTGATCCAATGGGCGGTCGCTAATTTCCAGATCCGACCGAGCTCAGGATCTGGACATGCCACCGACAATGAGATTAGACATTCTTGAGAGGCCACAACCTGTTTAGCAGACGAACCATGCTCAGGACTGGGGAAAAGAAGCTTCTCGGACCATATCAAGGACCCTGCCGCTTGCGAAGGCCCACGATCATACGTCAGAGTGATCACAACGCGGCTGGTCAAGTTGCGCTCATGGCGTGCGCTAACTGCAAAGCATATCGCGCTCGCCCAAGTAAGCGCGATCAGTTCAGAATCGGTCGTAGGTCTTATTGGCGCACCCCATAACGCAGTTGATAGCTATCTTCAAAGGTATTATCTGATATCTCTTTACCGTATAATGTCCAGCTCGAGTACATGTGCTTCTTCTATCGAGCTCGTTTTCCCCGTTGCCTCGATATTCACCAGAAGCTTCGGCCAGAAGAAAATGGACTGCTGGGTCAGCTGGTGAGATCCCCCCACTATTCCTCAAGGACTGTTATCAGAAGCCATACATTTTAGTGACAAGAACTATACTGGGTTCAAGTTGAGGCCTCGTGGGGACAACCACAACCTCCACATGACCGCCTCAGTGGGGGAGTACCGCTCGATAGCCCTGTAGGATGCATTCGCTTCACAAGTGCAGGAATGAGCTCACGTATAGGTCATCGGGGAACAGCAAGAAGAAGAACCCTCTGCTAAGAGTGCTCAGAGGTGACGAGAAGAGCAACCATTGGAGGCTTTGCTATCGCTGCCCGACTTGGTAACCTCCACTCTCTTCGCTGGGGGTGCATTGTCGCCGCTCTCTTCTCAGTCCACAGCATAACACGTTCTACACGGATTTCGTCACCGCTTTCAACTACGGCGGCACCGAGACCGAGTTCACCATGGATCTCCGTCCAGCTGATCGCTGGTGTCGCTGCCGTGCCAGCGAGGGCGGGAGCGCACCGAGGTCGAAAAGGGGGGATAAACGCCTAGTGGTCCGCATCAATGACGAGGAGCACTCACCCTACTTTTTCAAAGTCGTGGACGAGACCGGCAAAGTGAGCATCTCCCTCCCTCCCGATGACCTATGAAGAGTCAATTCCAGGTGTGTTTGAAAGCAGTGAGGAGCTCGGCTACGACAGATGCAGGAGACGACACTATTGGCCTCACCTTCAAAGAGCCCTTCAACGTCGCTGCTGCATTCGGGCTGACTATAGCCGTTGCCACCGCTTGGAAGGAGAGGCAACCCAGTAAAAATATCGTGAAGCGGCTCACAAGGCAATGCTCGACAAGAGCTGAGGAGACCTTGGAAAAGCTGTTAAGGATAGCGAGAAGGTCGATAACATGTGGTACGGCGAAAAAGGCAGACTCCAAGTAGTGCGAGCTGAAAGCACACTATGCAACATGACAAAGTCGCTGTGAATGAGTATGTTGTTGTGTTGAGGAAGAGGGAAAAGGTATTTCCCCCTGTCAGCATTGATCCCCCCAAGTGAACCCAACACTAGGCTGTAGGATCGTCCAAAATGTTAGCCATTACTGGTAGTAGAACGTGGTAAAGTAGTTGTGAGAAACATACGTTACAATAGACGTCAGTCGAGCCGACGAGATAGCGGTAATATCACCCCATAGACGTTACCCGTCCTTAGCGGTCTACTACTACTACTACTTGCGGCGCCTCTTCTGCGGTCCAACTTGCTTCTTCAATGTTCGAACGTGTGCTTGGAGATTCTTCAGCTTATCCGATGCCCTCATCTGGCGCCTGTTCTTAATACCTACGTGAAAATGGTGAGGGCGATGGTCAGCTGAGCAGCTCCTTACGTTCGCTGTTCATCCCCATCATCATAGGCTTATTGCGTCGCTTTTCCTTATTAGTAGTGCCACCTCGACGGTCTCTATTCTTGAAATGGTCCTTGCTCTCTCGACCCTCCTTCACAGCCAATATCTTCTCCTGCTTCTTCGTCATCTTATTCTGTCCATGGACCTTCTTCGCCCCCAGCAGACTCTCGGGGTTCACCAGCCAGTCAGCTGCATCGCCTCTCGCCTCCTGAGAGAGAAATGTTACCACCACCACGAGGGGGACTCCTACATCTTCATCGGACTCGCTTGAGCTTCCCTCATCGTCACTCGAATATAGATTGCCAGCCTCTTCCTCGTACCTAAAGACCAACGGTAATACCACATAAAGTAGCTGATGGGCCTACTCCTTCCGAGCGTCCTCATTACCAAGCTGGAGCTGCATAGCTTGTCGTAACCGTAACTTGCGGAGATTCTTGAAGTCGTCATCGCCAAGGACGACCTAATATCAGTGCCATCTATGGTGATGTGAAGAGTTCCCCTTCGCTCACCTCAGCTGCCAACTTGGCACGTTTAGCGGGCCTCTCTTCTCCTTCCTCTTCCTCCTCCGCCTCGTCTTCTCCAGCATCACTCGCCTCTTCGGGAGCTAGAACAGGAAGCATTGTTGACCCATAGCCGTGAACGATAGAATGCACATGAGCAATCGCCACCGTTCGACAAATCACCCATCAGGTATCACCTGCATCATCTCCTTCTTCCTCCTCCTCCTCTTCATCCGTTTCCTCAAGAGCATCTGATACCGAAAAAGTCACTGCTCTGAAGCCAACTGTGTTTGAAACCTCACCTGAGGCTATTTCCAGCTCGCCCTCCTCCTCCTCTTCATCATCATCATCACTGCCACCCTCATCATCCTCATCAAGAAGATCATCCCGATTGAGCAAGGAAGCACCATAGACATCATCAGCCACTTCCTCCCTGAATGATACGCTCAAGACTCACAGCCTTGATACGGGGCAATGGTCCTACCTGCCATATTCTGGACGGGAGTCGACTCCCTTGGAGATGGCCTCACTAGCCTCCTTTCCTCTCAAGGATCTCTGCAGCATCGATGGGTATCTACCACGAATCACTCCAAGATGCCAATACCATTCGAGCCTACACTTCTCTATACAGGTTCATCAAGGCTCTACCGGCGATAGCCACAGACTTCGACTGACGGTACTTCCTATATTCGATCAAGTCAGCCAGTTGGTCCGAGTCCAGAGCCTAGCCAAGGAGAGCCGGTTCTACCGTAGCAACGACTCTAACAACTAACCAGAGGAGCTCGAGAACATATCTCACGAACGGCATTGAGGCCGACCGCCATCACTTCCGCGGGAGAGCTCTCCGAAATGAAGTTGTTGATAACGTGACGTACTACAGGCTGGAGCTCTGTAGGCGGTACCTAACATGATGAGGTTGCTCCTCAGAGTAGTGAGCAAGTCCTGGCTACCTGGGGGTGGCAAGCCGTAGCGAGGCAGGCAAGGGTCTTAGTGACATCCCTATTGCTAGGCTTCAAGTGACGCTGTAAGAAGGGGTATCTGTGGCGGATTCTCTCAGCACGAGAGGCTACTGATAGCTCCTTACAAGTTGAGGAGGATGAGCTCATGTCTACCAACCAGTCGACAGCAAAGGGATAGGAGTAGCGACCTCTTGGTGAAGGTGATCTAAGACCATAAGCCAACCATAGGAAACAGACATCAGAAGTCTTCCTCTTACTGCATCATTCCCCTGAGCAGCACAGCGCTGGAGGAGGCGTTCTGCGAAGTTCTGAGGATCGTGAAGTAGATCAATGGCGGTGAAGTCGGTACCTGAGAATTCACCTCACATCTACCACACCGATTGGAATCAAGCAGCACTTACTCCCAACGTCACCCTTGCCCTCTATCTCCTTCCTCTTCTTCTCAGCAGCCTTCTTAGCCCTCTCGAGCCGCTTAGTCTTGCCCTTGGTCTTCTTGCCAGCACCAGTCATCTCCTGTGCTACTCTATCAACCTCCTTCTGAGCAGCCTCAGCCTCCTCAGCCTCGGAATCATGACCGTCTCCAGAGGCAGTCATTTTTGCTAGGAAGTTGTTGCCCAAGAAGAGGTGCACTGCCGCTGTGCTGACCTTGTTGGCGGCTTCAGAGCCAGTAAGCAGACAGACTTCGGCCAGAGCATTGACCTAGCTCAGCATCAACAATACATCCAAATGCCGCATCCCTACAGCTGAGCTATCCCTCCAGGCTCGCTTCATGTACAGGCCGATCATAAGGCCGGCAGCACCTCTCAATAGGGCCTCATTACTGGCAGACGTTGCTCCTGAGTGTCGATGAATTCACCAGTTGAAATCCCGAACAGATACAACATTACCCTTGCCCGAGTTCTTATTGATCTGCTGTACCAAGAAGTTCTGAACATCTTTTCGTAAGAGGCCAGGAGCTGGATCAAGATACTTCGTGGTCTTCTCCTCAGCCTTGGAAGTGTCCGCACCATCTGAGTACTCATACACTACCACCGATCCTGTGCTTGTCACTATTACCATTCCCTCTATTAAGGCGACGCTTCCTCTTCTTCCCAGCTGCCTTGCCCATGGTTGAGGTAGAGTTGATGATGTCGCTCAGTAGAGACTCTAAAAAAGCGGCCATCGTTAACAGCAATGGAGAGGGATGGAGGGGCTCACTTTGAAGGGTCCGGCGCAGCTCCTTATCATCACAGGCGAAGAGTCGGAACAAGGTGGGGAGGATCTTCATCAAAGGTATCATACCACGAGATCGTATGAGGAGCAATGCACCGACCATCGACCCTAAACCGCAACAACTCCCAATCAGCGACCACGTAATGCCTTACGCCTGGCCTCAGGATGGAGTTGTTGAGGATCTTTGCTCAGGTAACGTAAGAGCATCTCCGGGAAGTTGAGCTCCTCACGAAGATTAGGATAGCAGTGGAACCTGCAGGAGTAAGCTGTCGACGAGCTTGAGCCGACGACTGCTGCCTACACATGGGCGATGAACATAGTGAGCTCGTTGAAGCTCTTCTGGGGTCGCCCAGGCCTCAACTGGAGGGTCTCAGCAGTTGATCGGAAATGCTCGAACCTAGAGGGTTCAACGATGCGAGATTAGAGCGACAAGTAGGTAGTACTGTCGACGGTAATCCTCAATATACGCCTGGGGGTCCCTCCTGATGAAGTTCTGTAGTTGAGGAAGGGATAGGCCTAGGGAAAACCAACATCATGGACTATTGTTCCCCGAAAAGTCAACCCTAACACGGCTAGTGTTAGAAATGATCAGGGATGAGATTTTTCTCGAACGGGTTTCGGTATTAGTTCGAATCGATCACTAATCCCGGTACTACTATTTTCATCCTGGTCCTCATCAGCCTCGGCATTCCTCCTTGCCTTGGCCTTGATAGGCTTATGATGCTTCGGAGGCATTCTGATGGAAAGTGAACGAACGCTAGCAACAACAGCATGTAGACCTCGAGTAAGGTATACACAACAGATACAGCAAGAATACACATACTCATTCGTAAAAGGAGAAGCCGACCTATGGACGCTGCTGCCACCTCGGACGTCGTTGGTGAACTTTCGGGCGTGCGCGATGTACCATTAGCGGAGCGAAAGTCTGGTGACGCGTGTTTTCCATTTTCCAATAAAACTGCACAAGCCGGGGCCGCAAGTTGAGCTGATGATGATGATCAGCCCGATTTCCTTATTATCATCAATGCCAGTGCATTCATCTCCCCCTCTTGCCGAGCCTATCGTCTTTACCTACGAGGAGCTCAAGGATCCTCACTCCAACCTTACCGATCGCATTCTACAGGTAGTTCGCCACCAGCACACGCCACTGTAGAGCCTCACCTCCATGCTCAGGCTTACGGTCGAGACTCTCTCGGACTATGCTGCGTGAGTGACGTCCCCAAGTATACGGAGTATCGGCAGGCGTTGCTGCCTAAGATCCACACCCTAGGGAACTTGCCCCCATCAGCCCTTGAGAAGTAATACACTCATCGTAGCCGCGGAATCTAGGATCTTTGAGTTCATCAGCAGACCTCAGATACGTCCTACCAGAAGCGTTCTTTAACGTCGGATGGTCTCATGGTAATGAGAAGCTGGGAGGTGGAAGACCTGATCTCGGCAAAGGATCTTTTTACGCCAACCCTTTGTTCGAGAACCCTGGCGAGCTCGTGAGTCCACTTAGCTGTCTCGAATCTCAATCGTGTCTGAGTTGTTGATGTCTCTCCCAGCCATAGCGTTTGTGCGAATTCGTTGGTCGATTTAAACTGCACGGCGATCTCGCGAACATCCATATGGCCTTATCGTTGTTTAGGACCCCACCGCACAACAGCGCCATCCAGCGTGCGCTACCCCCAACGTGTGGCCCAAAGAGGTCCCAGGTTTCCGTGAGGCGTTCATAGACGCCGGGAGGCTGCTCGCCGAAGTCGGAACCATGGTAGCTAGGCACATGGACAAGGCCTGTCAAGCCCATGGAATCAAATGCTGCAGTCTTGTCGAAGGTACTAATATTCACCATCTTGGTGGGAGTCGTAGATGCACTGATTTTCAGCTACTTTCGAGAAGTCGCGTCTGTGTTGCGGTCGAGCCCTTCACTACTACCCATTGGAGCAAGGGGAGGTGCAAGAGGGAACAGAAGACTCTTGGTGCGGTTGGCACAATGACAATTCCGTCATAACAGGGCTATTCTCTCCAATGCTCCTGGACGCTACCACAGGGCAGCCCAGTACCACACCTGAGGATCCTAAGGCCGGCTTATATGTCCAGAACCGTCGACGCGAGGTTTATAAGGTCCACCTCCCTCCTGATTGTATCGCCTTCCAACTGGGCGAGGCTGCCCAGATCATGACTGGTGGGCATTTAGTAGCCACACCGCATATGGTTAAGGGCTCTTCCGTTCCTGAGGTCTCTCGGGAACAGCTTGCCGTGTTTTTCGAACCAGACTGGGATAGAGTCATGGCTTTGCCTGATGGCAATAGAACGGACCAGATGGTCAATGCCGGCGCCAATATCCCGGAAGTAGGACTCGTTTCTGATAGAGATGAGGTATTGCCCTCTGCTCAGGTTCCGCCGCTGGCCAAACGTTATCGTGGCCCTTCGGTCACCTTCGGGGAGTTCTTGGAAGACTCATTCCGAGAGTATTATAATATGAAGACTTCAACGGCTGTTGCAGGCGGCGGCACTGCTGCGGAGATGGCTTGAGCCAGTCGGATACGTTTTCATCGCCTCTTCATTTCATTCTTTTGTGGATCTTCATGCTGAGTCGGATTTCGAGATGGAGGTAGCAGACGTTACATAAATACAACATTTATTGAAGTATTTGAAGGCTGATCAATGTTCGTTGTTGTCGACTAAGAGGATTTTGAGTTAATATGAAATAACCTTGCTCATCAGCCTGATCGGGGAGACAAAAGATGAGTCAAATCATCTCATCTCGGATCAGCAACAATTACACTTGTAATCCCGACGCACATCGGTGAAATCGATTTAAACAACATATGGTTGATATGCATATCGAGGTTGCCAGGACATACACAATGTATAGTTACGCAGTATGAAAATTTCTCAACCCCCATCACAACGAGCTTTCTCCGCCTTTGAGGATACCATTGTTGATACAATTCCATCTTTTCCTAACGATACGTTTCGGGGCAATAGTTCAATAATTCATATCCACCCCGGCTTGCGATCAGCAATTCATGGTACGGGAGTATAGGGAGGGGAAGAGCATACAACCCTTACGCTATTGGCAGCTTGGGAGTCAGTGCTCTTACATGTCTAACGATGGCTCAGATGATGTTGAGCAGCTAGAGATGCTAACCAGCGAACCGATGATGCATCATCATCGTCAGTCATCTCCCACCCTAGGAAAAGAGAGAAAAAATAATGTTTTATCGTTTCACATCGATGCGCCTATTCGCGAGAAGAAATGGCGATGAATGTCAATGACTGTGAAAGTGTTGACATCGATTCGCTACAGCGCACGCAATACAATATCGGTTAACTAGGAACATATTACAGGGAGCGTGTACGTTCCCTCCATTCGTGTTTTTACTGTCTCTTTGTTTCACTACACCCTCAAATAAATAGCTCACCATTACCAACTACACAAAGACATGCCATACAACACGACACCTTGACCGCAAAGAAATCAGGAAACAGAACACACACCATGGCTTTGATAGCGGTGGGTAACTGTTCGATACGCGACCCTTCACATTCTAAAAAGGTTTACAACTGGTCCAAACTGTCTTTGAGACTACGGATGAGGTCCTCCGCGTCCTGAGAAGGAACAGTCCCAAAGGACCATGAGCGCAGAGGTAAGCAACCCTACCTCAACTCCAACAGACACACGGATGAACCCGTCCACAATACCCAACCTAAGCCTGTCTTCGGGTAACATGTTAGCATGGGTCATCACTGCACAGGCTGTGATGATAGACTCGGTAGCGCCAAGATTCTCACACAAAGACCAAGGGCGCTGGAACAGCAAACAATAAGACACACATCAGTATCACTATTAACTCACCTGGATGGAGTTCATAAGCTTAGTACCCGAGTCAGAACCACCAACAACGTCGAACCATAGCATTCCACCATGAAGGTTGTTCCTAAAGACATCAGATAACGACCATATGCAAAGAGAACGTCACACACGGAGCGGAAGTATCAAGAGAAGGGGCGGATAGCAATCACCTGTGAAGCTTCTTAGCGAGCTCATGTTGTGGGTGAGACTCAAGACCGGGGTAGATTACACGGGAGCATTTCGGATGACCCTCCAAAAACTTGCAGATCTTCATAGCAGTCTCCGACTGACGCTGGATACTGCAAAGGTAAGAACACTCATCATCCGTGGAAAATGGGCTAACTAAACCGTTCAGAGTTCTCACCGTAATTCAAGGGTCTTCACAGTCTGCAGCTGGATGAAGGCAACAAAGGGAGACATGATGTTGCCGTGCATGTTCTGGATAAACTTCATGCGCTGATACAACTCCTTGGTACGGCAAGCCAGAGCACCACCTAGCAACCACAATCGGCCAGTAGCAGCTGTGATACGACTCACCGGTGGTGATGTTGTGGCCATCATAATATTTCGTCGTTGATTGAAGAGTGATGTCAACACCAAAGTCCATTGGACGGCAAATGACTGGGGTAGCGAATGTGCTATCGCAGACATGGACAATGCCCTTCTCTCTGCATAGTGCGGAGACTGCCTCGAGATCAACCAATCGTAACAGAGGATTTGTCGGAGTCTCCGAGAATACCTGGTATCAAAAGGCGACAGTGCCTCATCATATTCAGTAAGTATTCCTCACCATTTTGGTATTCGGCTTCAGAGCCTTCTTGATGTTCTCGACGTCAGTCATGTCGACAAAAGAGAACTCCATGCCCAAGGGTATGAACTGCTCGCGCATGATCCTGATTCGAGAAGCCAATGGCCAGAGCGTACTGGGATGACACCATCCGGAAGGGAGACCACAACGTTACCTGTTAGTGCCGCCATAACTGCACTCAGTAACCACAGCGTGATCTCCAGCATTCATCAGCCCACATACTACGGTAGTGGTAGCAGCCATACCTGCAATAGGCGTGACTCAATCGTTTATCATACGTATAGGAAACTGACCAGTTCCAAAGACTGCGGCACCCCCAGGAGCCTTCTCGATCTCCGCGATCTTCTCCTCATAGGCACGAACAGTCGGGTTGGAGGTGCGACTGTAGCTGAACCCCTGCGAGAAGACGAGGATGAGCGTACAAGGCGGGAAGCTGCTGAACCACCTTGGCAAGGTATTTGTCTACAGACTCTTGGACAAAGGTAGTCGACAAGAAGACCGGCGTCAGAATAGCACCAGTCTCATTATCAGGCGACACCGAGGCATGCACCTGAGCAGCTGCGTACCAGGGGAGCTTCACCGAAGACCAACCCACCAACTCAGTGCCCATGCCAAGAGGACCTGGGATCCACTCGCCAGCGACGGTCTTCTTACCAGAGGACATCAATAACGATAAAAGGCCTACAGAAAGTGATAGTGACGGTAGACTTACAAGGTGATCTACAAACTCAGCCCGAACTATAGGTACCGTCTGAATGACCGTCGAAACGTGAAGATATACATGAACGCGAACTCCATTTGAATCATAGTTCAAACGCGTTTGCGCCCGCCATTCCAATCGATCAGATCGGCCCCTTCACCAATGTACTCGACATATTCTTATCACAAACGGCGTCGAACGCAGGGCGGCAAGTCGGACTGGGGGCGCAATAAGATCTATCGCCTCGACCGACTCGCCAAGACCGACGTATTGGCTGATGGAGGCCACCAGGTAAACGGTAAGGGGGTGTCACTAGCTACTACTCCCGCCGGGAGTCTCCCGGCTTTCGGCGAACTATGCTGGAGTCGAACCCGGGCTGCTTGACACCTTTCACGCAGGGGGAGTAAAAATTTTAGGGGTATTTAACATCGAAACCAGTAGCAACCACTCACTACTAGCCCCCAATGCAGACCCTAGCTGACTCGATTTGAATCTGTCGCGTGGGGTCGAGGATCTGCGGCAGCAGATTGGCGTCCATTTTCGAGGCGATCTACGAGGATTGAGGTCTGCTGTTGTTGGTCGTAGGGATGCGTAAACACACTGTGCTGGTCTGATGATGGACACTACCTCCTGTCTGGTAGCGATGATAGGCGTTTAGCACTGTGGCGGCTTGATACCCACGACTTCGACAGTGCCAAGCCCAAGCGGCCAGTGCGAGTCCTCGACACTGGTAGGAGGTCTTGTCCATCCACACTCATACGTACCGTCTCAGGTCACACACTCAACATATTCCACGGCCGTTTCTTCCCAGGGAATTGCTCGCTTATAGCAAGCTGCAGTCTTGATGCTTCCGTTAGAGTCCACGACCTTACCACCACTGCTAGCATTGTATGCAGCACGGCCCATCGAGAGAGGGTCAAGAAATTGGTAGAAGACATGGTCCTCAACGAGTAACCCTCTAACCCTTTCCAGGTATTGCCATACGATTGCCCATCTCTCGTCGTTTCCTGTAGTCACGACGGAACCATCAGACAGATGGACATCCGCGACCCTGCTTCATGCAAGGCCCCAGATGTAGTACTACCAACATCAGCCCTTGTATTGTCGTTAGTAGATCCTGGCTAGCTGGGGTCACGGCATCAATGGCATCAGTGGTGGTTGGGCGCTCCGGCCGTACCTACTACTAGCTGGTGGCGAGTTGCCGACACTTAGACTGTACGATCGTCGTCGGATGCAAGCACTCCAGTGTGGTACTACTACTGCATCATGTGTTGTGAGTGAGCTCCAAGGACCTGATACTGCTAATTCTGATAGTGACTTGGTTGACCTGTGCGTCAGTGGTGTATGCCTATCCCAAACAGGTAGAGTAGCTGTCGGGTCGTGGATGAATGGTGAGGGTATTTATGCATTTGATGTCGATGCCCCCAATGAGCCCCTCGGCCCTCCCTTCAAAGGCCACGCTAACTTCCGTACAGTCAAGGAGGTATCACTAGTAGGCCTCAATCAGGAATATGTTGCTAGTGGTAGTGATGATGGTAATTGGTTTGCATGGCGATTGCGACATGAACCTTTCGAGGGTATCACCGAATTTCCAGGCAGTCTGCCTTCCCCTCCAGTTGAATGCCCCATCGACTCTAGGCTTGCCTTTGTAGGTCTTGAAGGAGACATGGAGGTCGTCAACTGTGTCCAACAGCACCCGACTGAACCATGTATAGTTACTTCTGGTATTGAGAATGATATCAAAGTATGGCATCCTGAGCGTACCAACTATCGGGAGAAACTACCCATTCGGGCGGACCCACGGCTTCGGCAGATTATTACTCGGAACCTCACCCATTCGGCCGACTCCCATGGTCTTAGTAATTTCCTCCTCACCATACTGCGCCGCCGCTTCCCTCACGCCCACAACCTTCAGAGGTTCGGTTCCACCGTAGTATTTACTCGCTCGCCCGCTTCCGACAGCGACTCCTCTGAACCCGTCAGTGACGCCAGCCCGGGCGAGTCGATAACCGGTGGTTCTACATCGTCGGACACCTCATAGTCCGTCCAAGGCTGGCCCAGCGCTGCTACTCGAAAGAGTTTTGGAAGGCGATGGAGGGATCGTGGGCCTCATCATGTGACTATTGTTGTTATTGTGTACCAGTTGCTTCTGTACAGTCGCCTGCTGTAGAGTTGTGGTATTGAGTAATTTTCGCAGTATTATTGAGTGATGCCCCCATATAATGGCAATGTACCATGAATATAAGGACAACCTCTTCAGCTGGTGTCCAGATAGGCTCACACATATGGATAGAGCTGGGGAGCTGTCGTCGATGCCCCGGCTGTTTCCCGCTCGTTTGCAGCGGTCGGACAGTGGAATCCTCACTGGCCATGCGGTAAGTGATGATGATGGTACTTCTATAAGACCGGATCAGTTCTCGTTTGCAGGGATGTGTCAATACATTGTGTTGGTCCGAAGATGGTCAGCTGCTCCTATCTGGTAGTGATGACACTCAGTTGATGCTGTGGCAATATAGAGATGGTCCTGGTCGGGCTCAACGGCGGCCAATTGAGGTCATCGACACAGGTGAGCAATGTCTGGGCGGCTGACCTCCAGTTAGTGTGCATCTGTCGAGGTCACAGTTCGAATATTTTTCACGCCCGGTTCTTCCCTGACCGCTCCTCCCTTGTGGCCAGCTGTAGTCTGGACACCACGATTAAGATCACCGATGTTGAGAACGGCATAGTGTTAGCAACGTGCCACGCGCATAAGGACATGGTCTCCAAACTAGTACTTAGACCACTACTCGGCTACCGTCCTAGCCTATGTGGACCAGGTCATCCCTTGGGACTGTCCTCATCTAGTCATCTCCTGTAGCGCGGACTCAACAGTACGGCAGTTCGATATCCGAGCAGGGCCAGGCTCGTCTCAAGTGCTCGCCCGATGGGCCCATTGGCGTAGCGGCATCAATGCCATCAGCGGCGGCTGGGCCTTGCGGCCTTACTCGGTCTGTTGGTCTTGAGTAGCTACTGCTGGGTACCATCATAATCATTGTCAGATTCTAGCGGGGGGCGATTGGCCTGTAGTCCAACTGTATGATAGGCGACGTATGCCTCCTGATCGCCCTTCTGACCGGGGCCCAGGTCCTGAGCCTGTGGCAACGCTTAGGGGACCTTCTATTGGGAATAATCGTTCGGAGCACCTTCATGTCAGTGGTGTATGCCTATCCCAAACAGGTAGAGTAGCTGTCGGGTCGTGGATGAATGGTGAGGGTATTTATGCATTTGATGTCGATGCCCCCAATGAGCCCCTTGGCCCCCCCTTCAAAGGCCACGCTAACTTCCGTACAGTCAAGGAGGTATCACTAGTAGGCCTCAATCAGGAATATGTTGCTAGTGGTAGTGATGATGGTAATTGGTTTGCATGGCGATTGCGACATGAACCTTCGAGTGTACTACGGGATGATGTAGACATCGCTCGGCCCGACCAAAGCGACGACGACGAGGATGATGACGATGACGACGAATACGTTTCTCGGCATCCTGTGGATCCTAGGCTGGCATTCGTCGGTTTTGGTGCAGACCGTGACGTTGTGAACTGTGTCCAGCAGCATCCTTCCGAGCTGTGTGTAGCTACCTCGGGGTTCGAGGATGATATCAAGCTATGGCGTCTAGGGAGTCCTAGGCAAAAACCTACACTGCGGGCCCTACGGCGAGCATGTCATGCTAACGCTGCTCCTGCACAGCTGGACAGGTTCCTCGACTTTCCTGTTGTAGCCATGATGAGACTGTTGGACCAACGTGTTCGGGATGGCACGATACATGACGAGGACGATGATGACATCGAAGGTGACGAGGAGGAGCTCTTGGCGCGCAGTCAACTGAGAAGACTGGTAGTACCCTTAACTAGAATGGTAGATGCATTGCTCAGTTGTTCAGTTGGCGAGCATACGTCCTCCGTCTGGCTCCGATGATGATGTCATGCCCAATGCCCGAAGTAGCGCTAGTGAGCCAGGAAGTATTGGAGAGGACGAGGAGGGTAGCGATCAAGGCGATATCAGTTCCCCCCCAGACCCAGCCAGACGACGGCCACGTATGATGAGGTGTTTACAACAGTAGCTATTGTGTGATTGATATAGTATTGATAACGGTCTCCACTCTACGTCTCTAGCGGGGAGAACTACATTCGTCTGTTGTACATGAGTATTTTTCAAGGGCACATCTGTCGGGTTGCCCACTGGATTGTCGATAGTCAGCTTTAATTTGTTTCACCCGCCCCTGTTTATACTGTTGAATGCAAATAGATCGACTGAAGCAGCTACAGGATATGGCTCGAGAGCGAGGTGTCATAGTCAAGGTACGCCCTACTACGACGGAGTATCCGCATGTCCCTGTCAGGTGCACATGCTCGGTGTAGCAGGGGGAGTAGCGGCGACAGGGGCCGCCGTAGCCACCTCAGCAGCGACAACAATGGCTGGCGCTGCTGCTGCTGATGCCAAGGCCAGTCCAGTATTTGACGATTCGTCAGCAGCACCGACGGACTATGACACGAGCAGGCCGAACACCCCACAGGAACAGCGGGTTGGCACTGGTAGAAAGGGGGACATCACTGTAATGCTCATTGGTCGGTTCAGGGACAGAAGTAGCAGCTTTCCTGGGCGTATCATGGAAGGCATCAGAAGCCAAGGCTGAGGCTGATAAGCGTCAGTCGATGGACGAGTTCTATGCCCAGGCTGGTAGGGGGGCTAGGGAGCGGTGAGGAAGTGATGATAGGGATTTTGACTCAGGGGAGGTCCAACGTAACCTTGGCCTGGTCAATAAGAATCTTGATCTGTTGGACCAGAAACGGATAGACGTTATTAACGCTACAAGCCAACAGCAGGAGCAAGGTCAGCGTGGGGACACTTTGTAGGGTTGATGGCTGCTTCTTAGCTATTCGGGACAGTGTCGATGAGATCGTTAGTGATGTAAACCGGAGTATGGTGGGGACCAAGAAGAAGGCAAGTACCAGCATCTAGGGTTACATAATTTTGTGGCGCAGTGACGTTTTCCATCCACGAGGTTATGGTCTGTTTTGATCAGATAGACACTATGGGAGAGTCCACCAAGGACTTCGAAAGTAAATTTGCCTCGAAGTGTCACATTGCATCGGAACTCCGTATTCGTAATGGGATGGAGCAGGCCGGCCTACGACGGCTGAACGAATACGTACCAACAAAATACTGTGCGCTGCTGGACATTCACAACCTCAGTTGAAACGCTTTCAAAAACTGCAATCGGATTTCAACAGCGACATTCGGGAGAAAGCACTGCGGCAGCTTGCCATCGCGGTCCCTGCTGCGACAGATGCCGAGGTACTACTAGATCGGACAGTCGTGATTTAGGTCGTCGATTTTGGTTAGAGAGAAGCGATGGTAGATCAAGGAGTTCAACCCCAGGAGCAGTACTTTCGGTCCAAGCAGGATAGAATCACAAAGCTGCAAGGCCTGAGGGACAGGTAGGTACCTTGTCGTGTTCAGGGCTGCGACTTGATGGTCCTGTGATGTTAGATATGAGTCGATTCAACGGCTGGAGCAGTCAATTCAAGAAGTTAACCAAATGATGGTCGAGCTTGCGGTAAGGGTAAAGTCTATTTGTTATAGGCCCAATGCGGTCTCTTTCAGTTATTAGTAGAACAGCAAGGGGAAATGCTCGACTCAATAGAATTCAACGTTGTGAATACTAAGAACAATGCTGGTAATGAAAATGTATAAGGACGGACAGTAGCCTTCTGGTATGCATTATCAATCTCAGCGCGTACGGAGCGAGCGTTGATCAAGGGCCGCAAGAGGCAACGTCGTAACCTGTGGATTAAGCTATGTATATGTGTCTGCTGTGTGGTTTGCATTCTAGCCCTGGTGAGCCTATGTTTACCGTCTCCTCCTCCTTATTATCATTATTATCAGGTTCTGGGTCTCCTGTCGTACTTCAAGGTACTATTCCCGTCCAATAGTAGATGATGGGCCTTTTAATATTATACATGTAAATTTTCCTCCTTAATTCCGTCATCTCCCTATTGCAGCGTTAAACGGGAGCGGCTACTCACTGGCCTGCGACGGTTACTCCTACCACTGTATTTGTTTTCGACTATTAAAACTACTATACTTCAGCCGCTGGTATCATTACAGTCATGGATGCTAAGTTGCTTCTTTGGATATCTGAGTACCATATATCATCCATTCGGCCCGGTTAACTGACGGCATTGTTGAGCTCGGGGGGTTGCTGTTATATAGCCGATCACAGAGGTCATTTTTTACACTCCTCCTCCTCTGCATCTAATGCTGTTCGCCCGATTCGGCCCTAGAGCTACCAGAGCCTTCTCCAGCTATAAATCGGCTCATCAGGAGACCCCTCTCACCTACTACCGTGCTACACAGCACGCCACCTCGTCGATCAACCATCGTTTGGCTTATATCAACGCGTAAGTGTTGCTGCTGACTACTGTCCCTGGGAGCTGCCTCGATCAGGGTCTTCGTCATCTGGGTCTGCGACTCGCTGAATACCGTGCTGGACTGCTAGGAGCGTCCAAAAGAAGAAGTGGTGATGGTTTAACGACATGATGGTATTAGTTTTCAGTACTTTTGCCCGAAACATTTTTGCGTTCAACCATCTCCGGGATATTCTTCTCATTCTGGTATAGAATCTTATTATCAGTAGCTTAGAGTTTGTTCACTTCCTCTTCCAAAGCATGTCCGGTGCTGGCTCTATGATTGCCTTGGGTCCATTCTTTGCGATCTGCCAAGGTTGCGGTGTCTCTATGCAGAAGGGCCTCTTATCGTTGGTGAAGCAAGTCGGTATAACCTACGCGATCAATGGCTTCGTCCGCTATAGTGTCAACAGCATGCTGCCGGAGGGATTCTATCAGACCCAACCGTGGGGCTCTGCCGTAGAGCTAATGCTCTCTTGCTTGGATCTGTTGGGTATGGTCCAGATTATATACTACTCAGACTGTCTTAGGGTTGGCTTTGACGATGATGCCCGTCGGGCTTTGGCCGTTGGGGTCACGTGGGCGACTTTGGAAGTTGTGCGTTACAACTATAACTGGGGTCTTACTATAGAAATGCACCAGAGTAAGCTGGCAGTCTTCACCCCATCTACTCTCATGAGTAACCTCATTCTTGCTGGAGACGTCTCCTTAGCTGTTGGTATCTGGTTGACGTATAAGTTCGGTCGAGAGTTGCTTCCAATTCTTGTGGTCTTCCTGTCTGCGTTCGTTCTTCCTGGCTTGGCCATCTACCTCCGTATGGCTTTTGGTATGCATGATTGGGACAATGAGTTCATCGGTATCATTCTGGCAGCCTCGGGATTGACTTCGCTGTTTGCGTATTGGGTGTGGGCTAAGTATTACCCCGACGGATCGGCCAAGCAAGCTGAGCTCGATGAGATCGCCGAAGAGAAGCGTCAGAAGGAAGCTGTTGCCAAGGAAGAGGAGGCCAGGTCGAGCGATATGGTTCCTCAACGTCGAAGTAAGAAGGCACGAGCAGCTGCTGCTAAGAAGAACAGGCATGATTGACTCAATTGAATGATGAGACGTGATCGTAGTTTGTGTTTTCTACTGTTTATTCAACGAGTATTGTACAGCATTGCCGTTGGATTTGCGTTGTAAGACAGTTCGAGTGGTTGAAGTGAAACTCTATTCGTCTTCCTCGCGGATCACACTCATTGACGGCGAAAAAAGGTCATGGCGTTCTTTCTCGGCTGAAGTTTTACCGACGTTTGGTCGGGAAGTTTATGAACCAGCAAGTGAGGACGATGCGACTCGAAATAGTCGGTAGGGCCTCTACCGTAGAGGGCCTCAAGTTGAGAACTATCACACAAGTTGGTTCCACTCGAAATTATCTCTCGCGATGTTCCTGATATCGTTCAATGGATAGCTGATATACACCCCAAACAGACCCCTCCCACGATTCGTCCCATTTCCTTGGACTTGGTCATTCATATAATGAGGACTCGGGATTCGCGTTACAGTTGTCTTCTAGTTGAGTCCTCTTCATTCCGACGGTTGAGAGCCCCCGAACCGGCATGGTTAGACCAGGTTTCTCTGACTTGCTACTGGGACACAGTTTAGTACGTATCGAAGTTGAATCGGCAATCAGCAACCTTGAGAGTCTATTCCTTGCGAGTGCACTTCGAGGCAATATAGGTGAAGCTTGAGAGTTCATGACTATTGTCTGATGCCAATATGTAGCAGAGACTGGCTGCTTATAAGCTCTGCGATTGCAAACAGCTTGAAACACATATGCCCCGCAAAAACTCAACTTCTCTGTGTTGTGAAATAATTGACTATTTCCTGCATCTGACCCGTTGCGGTATCAAATAGACGAATGATAATGTAGCATTATGAATCAACAATTGCGTCCAAAACACTTCCGGTAGTCTTTTGTCAACCATGTGAATGGCATCAAACTGAGGGTGTAGAAACCCAGACGAGTGCCACTACTGCCAACCTTCGCCCTGATCTCTTTCATCAGTTCTATAGCTTCCTTCGGCGACCATGAGCCAAGTTCATTGGCCCTTTCAGGATCGGTACAAGCTCGATTATTCAATGGATACATACAGCCAGTAGAACCTGAGTGCCTCGGGGACCATATTAGTGCGGTATCATCAGCGTATCTTCGTGTGTCCGTCCGAGGTAGCGGGGACTCTCCAGAAATGCTGGAGAGCAGGAAGTTGGTCATATCCTGGACCTTATCCTTCCTGCTTGCAAACTCGGACGAATCACCATCATAAGCTTCAGGGCTGGGAACCCAAAAATCCAAGAGGAAAGATAAATACATATCGACTTTGGTACCGTGAGAATTCTTAGCGCCATTCAGGACGCCAAGACCAACCGTGAGGCCGAGTTTGAGCGATCCCTTGGCTGCCTGCCCTTGGTCGATGAGCTTCGGCAGATCAACACTGCGGACGTCGATGCCGTCGACCGCAATACCGGCGATAACCGTAGCCTTCATGAACGCATTCCAGGTGGTAGCAAATCGGAAGAGGCAAGCCATGACATTGGGCTGACCTGTACAAACCGTCGACCACGTATTATCGGTCGGTATCACGTTGATCCAAAAGCTTGTACCACTCTTCTCGAGCTGCTGCAGGAGCGACTGGAAGTCCTGACCACCTCCAGCAATGGTGCTTCTGCCAACCTTGGTCACATCACCATCCACCCAATTCTTCACAACAGCTCCGCTTGCTGTCAGCACTAGATCGCCGACTCGAACGTTTAGACAATTGTTGCCGGCAATGAAGGCTGGCAGGTGGTTTGTTAAAAATTCCCGGGGACCAGCGGCTGACATGCTCGGCCAATCCGAGAACAACATCACGTTTGAGGTGACCTCAGAAGGACTGTCGCTTCCTGGGCACTTGTCTGAAGACGGGGTTGTCGTAGGACCAGTAGGCGTTGATGATTGGGTAGGACCAGTAGGCGTTGGTGATTGGGTAGGACCAGTAGGCGTTGGTGACTGAGTAGTAGTGGGCTCAGAGGTCGAGCCATTTCCCGAAGGGGAAGTCGTGAGCCCTGTTGGGGACATGATGATGGGATTGGGCCGGGCGCCACACCCTTCCATGACAAAGAACACCGCAAGAATACAGAAAGCGGCACCGCATCTCCGTGAAGAAGGGCAGAACATAACAAATGATTAACTTGCTGCGAGGGGACCAATTTGTTGTTAGCTCTGGACAGAGTTCCACCCGAACATCATCAACGCAAGACTATCAACAATTGTACGCAAGAAAGAGCATCCATATATCGATGCCTCTTGCGATGACTCTGAACAACAGCATTGAGGCAACAGCTATACTGAGGCTTCCCCGAATACATGGTCGTGAGTAACTCGACAAGGCTGATGGGAGATATTACTGCTGGAAACACAGCTATTGACGTTGTAACAGAGAAGGCAGTGTGGTGTTGGCAAGGGATGCACTCATAAACGATCATGCGACTTCGGGACCCCCGGGTTTCGGCCTTTTGCCCTGCTTCAGCTGCAGCTCATCACCATCAACGGTGCTCTCAAGTGGTCGTTTACTCTTCGCTGGTTCCTCAGTCGACAGAGGGGCGATGACCTCCTTGTAGAAGTTCACAGTATGGGCCTTGGGATGGTAGGCTTCCTTATCAAAATCAGCTACACCCAGAGCGTTACAAAGCGCTTCGTGGGACTTGCAGCGACTGATAGTCTGCTGAATGACCTTCACTGGTTGGCCCTCATACATGGTGTCGTTGGTGAGAAGTTGTGCCAATACCCACTTAGTGTTCTGATACGGGCTGCCGTATTGTGTAGCAAGCCTCATATACTCCTGCAACACCTGCCGTTTCGGCAACAACATGCTCGCACCTGACCAGAAGGGGTCCAAGCTCAACCGCATGCCCGGCGACCACTGCCAGCTTGATTCACCAATGCTCACCTGTCTTGTCGAACATCTGGGGATTATAGAGGCCCCCTCGAGCGATCATGAAGCTGTTCGACCACGGCACGCCGGTCTGGTCCATGAGGGCTCGGAAGGCCTGAACGGCAGAAAACTACCACCTGGTCACGATAGCCGATTTTACCTCAATAGCCTTGCGATCGAAAAAGTCCCCATTAGGGATGAGTAACACATCCGGGCACAGCCGCTGTACTTGGGCAAATGTCGGCCAGATAGCGGGGTTCCGCGGCCGCATAGGGATGGTCCCTGCAGCAAGGCCATGCACTCGTATGAAAATATCAAATTTTTGCTCACGAGTGTGCAAAGCCACCGCACAGGCCCCGGCATCCGAGCATCCCTTTATGAATTCGCTGGTCCTTTTTGTGGCGTCTTGAAGCTCCTCCTCGGTGGGCTGCTGTGTGTCACATATAAGCCGCACTTTACAGGTCACCGGCATCGTCTCGGGCACGGTCCCTGAGCAGTACCATCAATGAGACCTCGGACTCTCCTGGATGGTATAAGGGAGGTACTCACGTCGCAACGTCTTGAGGATGTCCACTGCTACCTCGGGCTTCTTCAAAAGGGCCGACCCCATGCCCCCTTTGATACTGAAGGACTTGGGACAGCCCATGTTGACATCAAATCCGGCCACCTGAGCCACGACAGCTCAGCACATGACATCCAACCTCCGAGGGTACATCCTGCAACAGGGCCATGGCCGCCTTCTGAGCCCCTGGGCCGCTATTGGTGCCCATTTGAAAGATGAGCTTCGGCTTTTCCTCCTCAGCTGTCTGGAAAACCAGGGAGTTGTCCCTTTGTGAGATGTAGTCCCATGTGTTGAAGTACGGGTCCCAGACTCGCTTCGAGCTGTATATCTTCTGATCAATGATCTCCTCGGAGTACACCAGGTCGGCACCGTAACTGAGGGTCCATGAGAAGCGCTGGGGAGCATCAGAGACCCACTTCGCAGTCAGTCTCCGTAGAGGAAGGGTGCATGCTCGGACCATTGGCGCGAGTATCTCAACATCCCGATACCGGTCAGACAGGTTTTGATAGGGTGTCACCACCTCTGGGTGAGGAACCATGAGGACAGAGATGGACTATGGTACAGTAGGAACAACTGCAGGTGATGAATGTGGACTGACAGCCATGGACAACCAACGCGACATTCCTCTTCTTCACCGCAAGAGACATGTGACAGTAGTACATGTAGCTGCATCATGGCACTCGCTCAGTGCTGGTGCCCTTTCAAGTCCTTCAATCTGCAGTTGAGTCGGGAGAATGCAGAGACTTTCAAGACAGTTTCAAGACTAGTACCGCTGAAAGATACTCCTCCGCTTGCTGGTTTTCTTTTCCCCTTCCTCCACAGCGATCGCCTTAGCCTGATCGCCATTCTGAGAAGCCACGAGAGCTCCCATGCAGGACTCTACCTTCTCCAACAAGGCCCGTAGACGGCCATCTTTCTCTTCACCATCTACTACACTTCGTGACACCCCAGGAGGGGGCTTCAGTCGAGCACCGTCCCCCATGGGGTGGATCTATTAAAGCGGGGGGGGGGGTGCCAGAGTCGACGGTAGCAGTGGGTACTACCCACCACTCGGAGCAGCCTCCCGTCCCATGACCACACCTTACAGCCATCGACCTCACCTAGCCCGACTGACACCACTCTATCGGGTTCCGTGAGGACCTGAGCGGGCTTCAGGGGAGCACACAATAACGAGTAGCATGAGGCCGTCCACCTGTATGATGGAGATCGCCTCCCCATGGGCCCTCCATAGACGTTCAGATCGGACCAGCCTTCTACCTTCGAGGAGCTGACCACCTCTTCCCCTTCCACCTACAGTGCCCCTCAGCTCACAGCAGTTATTGTCCAGTCGAGCCTCCCAGCCTTCCACACAGCCAACCTCGCCATTTCCATGCCGTCCGAAGAGCCCCTCCACTGAGGGTTCCGTTGACGTTCGGCCATTCGTGTAGGAGGCACCGGCAGATGCAAACCTGAGAGACCTTCTACCTAGACCGACGAGGATCCAATCTAGTACCAAGCGTAACTATCTCTTCCGAGTGCATGAGATCATCGCAGTCCCATCGGCGTAACCAGCCCTCCTCGTCACCAGTCACCAACGATAGGGTAAGTCTAGTGCCCCTCTCGGTGTCGGGCGGCTGAGTACCTTCCACCGGAGAGAACAGAATAACGTCACCACATGGGGTGCTCGGAAATGCTACTGAAGAACTTCACGTCTTCCTCTGCTCGGTGTTCCGTCACCAGGTGTGGACCCCCCAGAAGGCCACGACCCTGAGTGAAAACACGCAGGTGAGTAAGGATTGACGAGGGGAAGAGGTTGGACTAACACAAGTCAAGAATTCACCGTCTCGCATAGTCGCTGCCGTCCGAGACCACTGCTCAAGAGGCGTCGATGCAGTGAAGGTACTGAGAACCGATCATTCTACTGCGGCGGAAGCCTCTGGTCTAAGAACAGACCTGGTAGAGCATCCGATACCGGTAAGGAGGAAGTCAATGAAGGTGACTGCTGAGGTGTTCGCCAATGGTCTTATGTTAAGGAACCGGTAGAGACACTTGAACTGGAGATCTTCTCGCACAGGAGGTAGGCCCCAAATGGCCACCTGAAATGACCACCATCACAGACAAACGCCTACGGTCAGGAGCAGTGCTGGGCGGGTGCTAAGAGGAAGCGAAGGACGCCGTTCCGACTCACATTCCCCTGCGCATCGGCACTGACCAGCAGCGCTAGGGGATCTAGGAAAGTCAGAGCTGTTATCTCTGAGCGGTGGCCCACACAGTGCCTGCAAAGCTTGCCTCGACCAGAGCGAGGAGCGCTGTCACTGACCCAACGAGGCCTAGGGTCTCGAAGGATCTCACGCTGACGATAGCATCGCCGCTTCCGAAGGCAAGTTGGTCCCGATTTGGTGAGAAGGCAACAGTTGTCAATGGCCGCAGGTGGAGATTCGAGGCCGTACCTAGACGTAGATCGACACGGTGTGGAAACAGGGAGGCATACGGAGCATAGTTGTGCTTGGCCCGCTGCTGGCATCTTCATCCTCCAGCAGCTCACTGTGGACCTTGACGTCGTTATCAGAGGAGACTGACAGGAGAGCGCGATCCCCACAGGGGCTGTAACTGAATGCTCTAGGTGTGATAGACCGGGGGAAGGGGATGACGTACAATAGGTCAGAGATCGAGTGATGATGAGGAGTGTACCAGCACAAGAGGGATCCGGTATGGAGATTGTAGCTGAGACAAGGATAATGGTCGCAGCAGTTTTAGGGCATGGAGGGCGCATACGCAGCAATCCTCCCTAAGAAGTCGCCAACGAAGACCTTGAGGGCGCGCTCGCCCAAACAGAAGCAGGATACCTGAATATCTTTCACACGTGGTATCACAGCATTAACTCATACTCGCACAGTTACCTCCGAAGAGTGCCTTACGACATCGGCAAGGACCAGTGACAAGCTCTCGTCGACAATACGCCACGATTGAAGCAGACACTGCGAGGCCGTGAGGAAGATGCCGTGGGCCTATGCAGAGTGCCACTACGCGACCACAACTTGTGGACTGGGCGGACCGACTGTGAAGGCTTGGGCTGTTGTAACTACATTCTGGCGGTCTCCATCACACGCCGAGGAAATCTGGCAATCTGAAAATCCTCAACTGGGAATATCCTTCCCGCCTCTGTGGCAGCTACGACGATGCTGATAACGATCATCAGAGAGAATTAGACTGTTCTTAGCAGTTCGGCTCAGCAGGCTTTCCCGAAACGAGCACCCTGGTCCGTAGAACGACCTACTTCGGCCATCAGCGTCCATGGATCCCGTGGCAAGATCAAACACACAGAGTTGATGAGAGCAGACCACAGCACGAGTAAGAGGAGTGCCGTCTGCTCGTGCTGTGCGGATCTGAGAGCTGCTCCTGAGAGCGATGATGGCTGTAGCAGCAGTAGTCTACCAGCATGAAATCGTTGGGGGAAAGTATCTCTGGTACAGATATCGACTGCAGGAGCTGGGTGGTGCTTACATCGTGAATTTTGATGCAAGTCATCGAGTCTATTGACACAACTCGATGAACGTCTGAGCAGAGTGAGGTCGACTCCTGCTGGAGAGAACAGGAGAGATAACGAAGACCGACGGATAACAGGCATTGCGACAGCACGAGGAAGAGTCGGGCACCCACCATGGAGACCAGGAGGATCAGGGAGGAACTCCACGGCCTGGACAGGAGCTTGGTGTGAACATATACTCCTCAAAGGAGTACTGTAATAAGGGTTCCACACCTACGGGAAGTAGCATACATTCGGGAGGTCCTCTCTCGAGTAGGCATCCTGACCAAAATAGAATCGTCGAAGCTTCCACTGAGGAGACAAAGGCTTATCGAATCGCCGAGGTTTGAATTGAATGCCATGCAAGTGACGGCTTGGGTGTGTCCTGTGAGCACCTGCCTTGGAATGCTCCCAGTGAGCCAACCAGCATGGACTACACGTTTCGGACGACCAGTTTGCGCATCCCAGAGAACTATAAGGGTATTGAGGCCGCAGCTCGCTATTAAAGTCAGGTCCGGGAGGTCCACCAGACAGGTAACCTGAGCGCACCGGGTCATGAGCCCCAAAGGCCCGTGTCTACTGCTCTCTCGTCACGACCAACACTCGGCTGCACGGCCGAACGACGAATCGATAACCGGATGGACGGTCTAAGAGTAAGACGACTGTGATGAGGTTATGCACTATCTGTTTCTTGGTACACCTGTTCGATTGGTCCGGTTTGGGGGAGGACCGCGATGTATAGTGCTTTAATGGAGAACCTCTCCGAAGCATCCACTGAAGGGATACAGGAATACCAACGCCTTTCATCAAACTCACAAAAGACCAGTGATGTCCAAGAGCTCTCGCCTAGTTCGAATGGTTATCAACCGCAAGAAGAGCCCCCCTTCATGCATGTTATAACTGCTCACCTGCGTGAGGTAGGGTCTGTACTGGTCTGACATCAAAGGTTTGCCCCCGAATCCTGATTCCGGAATTATCAAGGTCACGACTGGGCTCCCTTGCTTCTCGGGCGAGTCTGTGAACAAGGAGATGCAATCAAGCTTGACGGAACAGCAAGACGTTGTCACTGGCGCTACTCTGCCTCGCCTCTTTCAGCTTTTGCGCATTCCTTTCTCTCTCTTGTTCTGTCCTCAGCGCGATGGCGTCTGATTTAGCAGACCACGTGTCCGTCGCTTGACGGGCTTGCGAACCCACCCGCTATACCGCCTGGCGCAAGCGCCAAGCCAACGTCCCAAGCGTAGATGCAGCCATCATGGCCTGCTGTGAAGAGGGTGTGGGACGAGGCGGACCAGCACATGCACTAGAAGAAGGCAGTCTTATGCTGATGATGGGATTCGAGGCTCACTCGTTGAGCTGTCGGAACCTTAATCTTACGCAAAAGTCTGAATCTTGGCTTTAAACCGAAGCCATCTGACACGATGACGAGTGAAATACCCCCGGGCTACAGGAAAAGGGAGATAAGTATACTGCAATAAGGAGAGCGTGAACAGAACTGCTGTGGAGGAGGTCCACATGCGCCATTCTATGAAGCCACAGAACAGTCATCAACGATTTCCAATGAGGAGTTCGGTCCTGTTTCATAGGAGCAGCATGCTTGAACTCACTCGAAGATGCCGATCGGGTCAAATCACGGCAATCGTAGAAGCGTAGCGACATGTCAGAGCCGCCAATAACACAGGCTTTCCACTCAGGTAAGTATCTGCAGCACGATACTTGTAACGATAGGATCGCGATATGCATGCGGTGTATCATGCTGCATCCAGCTGAGTGATAAAACTAAGGAGCGTATTTTTTCTTAGGCAAATTCGAAAAGTATTTGATCGATTATATCGATTCGATATATATAGTGTTGAGCTATCATATGGTAGGGTATCACTTTATCTATACCACATTCCAGTTTCAGGTCCGGAACACGAAAACTTCACGAGAAACATTGATTTTTCGAATTTGCCCAATAAAAAATGCGCTCCTAATGCGTGCCCATCCCGTTTCGAATAGTCTCTGATGGATCTAGAGTGAGGTCACTCAGGAGGTCACTCCACGTTGCTGTTGCCAAGCGACCAGAAAACAAGAACGAATGAAAACCTCTCATCACTCGATGCACAGTATAGAGCAGGGCCCTGCCTCGTCCGTCTGGGTGGGTAGTGTACAGGAGGGAACCAAGTCAACGGTCGCGAATTGCACAACCTGAGTACAAGGTAGACTCTCCTAGTTGCGATGCTGGAAGGGCTACAGTAGAGTTCTGCTCACAGTAGGCCACCCTGTCCACTCTTGATCCCTTCATGTGCCTCATAAGTGTTATAGCGGCAGTATGGGGAAGAGCATCAGCACACCCCTTAGACGGGATAAGCACGTCCAAGGAAGCCCTATGGAAAGACACTCATACGCCTGGACCGTCCGTAGGACGAGTATGTGTCCAACCGTACTCGCTTATGGTGTCGGCATTGAGCTCTTTCCCTAGAATTAGCGTGGCGATGTCATTCCAGCTAAGGGCTGCGCTGCCGTCCACATCCAGTTGGTAGTACCTCCGTCAGAAATTAGACTACACGGGGAGACATATTGTGACCATTGACATGAAGTTGCATACGTATGGGCTCTGCGTTCGAACCGAGTGGTCACGAGCATTGCAATCAGAAAGGTTCCGTCGGACGGAGTTTCATTGACCCAACAATCATGAAACTCATGCATATCAACGCTCGCTGAATCCTCTTTGCGTTGCATAGTTCGATGAATTCCACCACTGCGGCGTCACCGCAAAATTCTTGCGGAACGTTTCGCACATGTTGAAATCGACGTAGCCAGAGGAGGCGACAAGCACATAACGTGGGACTATATTGTTAAAGGCCAAAAGCGGGGCCACTGATCTCGGCATGTGACTGAGCGAACCCGACGACGTCTATGCCGAGGTGTATCGGGAACAACGCGTTGCCTAGACGTTGGATGGGCGACGGACACCCTTGCAGAGAATATCGTGACGAGTCGATGGTAAGTCGATGCTTATGGATATAATCTACCGGAATACGTCTCGTATGGCACGCTGCTATATGTAAAGCGAATCAGTGGAATTGGATTGAATCCAATTCCACTTAACCGGCTCAGGACATAGCAGCTGAATTCAATATACATGGCCGTACAACAATCCCCGACCTCGGGAGAAACTTCCGTCCACCCTATACTGGAATGAAGGTTACCACTTATCCCTAGCAACCCCCCATGGTATCTTACCAGCGATGTAGCTCCTTCACAAGGGCGAGCTCCTGTTCCTCGGACAACTTCTCTGCCCTCGTGTACCCATCCTCATCTCTACTCAATGCCAGGAGCATCACACGGATGAACTGCTCTAACGTGAGAGCATCTCCACGCCTAACGGGAAGTGTAAGCCAGCCAGTAGTTTATTAGCAAGAAAAGAGTGATAAAATCAGCCACTACCTCAATACGTCATGCCTGAGTTTAGCTAAGCCCCGTTTCCTCATACGGGCGAGCCGAGACCGCGCTGTAGGACCGAAGCCTTCACCAGATGCAAGTTTCATGGCATTAAGCTGCATTATAGTCTCTTTCCCAACCCTTCCCGTGTGCCACACTAGTCGCAAATCAAGATCTCGAGAGAGGCAAATATAATCATACAAATGCGAAGTCTCGAAAAAAGTCCTCCCATACAGTGCGCAGGGAAAAGGCAGCATAGTACCGATGAGCATACAATCACAGTCAAGGCATCAGTGTACTCGCACGCTCCGCTGAAGAGCTCCATTACTACTCTGAGCCGACTCGGGAGTATTCATATCTGCCAGAAGATGCCTACTTTAGTGCTACAGGTCGCCTTCTTACCACTCCCATTGACCATCCCGTTACTGTATGCATGCTGCCTGAATGTGGTCTCCATTGGGCCAATGATGCCTCCACGGGTAGTCGACCAACTGAGACCATCACTGCATCAACACATGTCCAACCATCATTCCACTACCTCCCATCGCCTCCCTCCACTCGAGTGCCCCAAAGGAGCCTCGGGTCCTCCGCAAACTTCAAAGGGACAACTCCCGTATACAGCGTCTGCAGCCTGAGCTCGGGCGATGCCCCTGCACAACCAGCCTCCGCATCCGCCAGCAGGGAGTGACGCGTTGAGTCGTCGGTTAGTCTAACACGTCCACCACTCGGCGAGGCCGAACCCACCGTAGCCGAGCCACGAATGAACGCTTCGAACTCCCAAAAGACGAGAAACGGCGAATTAAGGACCACAGCTGGGACCGTCAATGCATAGTGATAGAGTAGCCATACAATGCACGTTACGCCAACACCATAGACCACATCTATCGTGTAGTGAAAGTGGGTACATATGATAACAAGTAAGGAGAAGACCCCAAAACCGATGCCCAGTAGCCTTTCCTGCCATCTCCTGGTGTATGTGGCCCACACCATAATCGATAGGGTGATCGGTATAGAATGACCAGAGTAGAAGACATCCGCGCAAGTATGGGAGAGGCCGAAAGGCATGAGCATGACCGACCAGAAAGGGCTCCCTTCCACCAAGCGGGGCATACACATTGGGTCAGGATTCGGGAGCATTGTAACAGGCACACAGAGCGCTCTACCAAGATACGAGACTGAGCTTAGCAGCAGTGCCCTCTTCACTATGATAGCAGCACGGCTGGGCTTAAAGGCGAAAAAGAGGCGACCAATGGCAAAGAGCATACACAGGAGCATGCATGTGTCCGGAAGGCTAAACCCCAGACCATCACTTGAATAGTGCGGTAAGAGCTCAAACCCCAAGTCGGGCAAGACGGTAGGGTTGATAACTAATCCAGTCTGGGGGTCTCTCGGCCAGTAGTAGTCAGCTCTATATTGTGCCCATACATTTACTACCGAGTTCACCATCATACCAAGAGCCCATGCTGCCACTGCAGGCAGCAGTCGATTGGACACCATTGCCCAACGGTGAAAACAACCCTTCTAGATACCATAACAAGGCGAACACAACAACAATGCAAGGGGAACGGTATCTAGGAAACTCTCAGTAAACGAACAGCCTTTTCGATGCCAGAAGCAACAGAGTTCATCATGCATGGTGATCTAAATACCACACGATGAACGTGACCGTTACACCATACACTACCGTGTGTGCTCATTATTACCAGCAAGGTAGAGATACCCCAGAAGGGACTCGAAAACCAGTGCGGTGTAGTCCCACGGGACCACTGTGGGTGGCCCGGGGAACGCAAACTCGACCAACAATATCGACCCCAAGGCTTGGTCCCACCCCAGACTCGCCTTGCAGCTACCGTCCGAATAGGGTAGCTGCGTCAGATACTGATGCATCCTATGGCCCCACCAACAGCGGTGCGCGTTCGAGGACGATAGTGACCTTCTAGAATCTAGTACATGCCATAATGACCGCTCCCAGGGTCAGACAAATAAACCGTCGAGGACACTCGATATTCGAGTGATGAATATTATATTCACTCCTCGTTGTTCCGACACTCGAGTATATTCATCGATATTCATCGCCTTGATACTGCATCGAGGCCCTTCTTCGGGTCATTGCCTTATGATATGGCAATGACCCGGCACCACGATCAAGTGAGGGCGACTGTAGCTCTGCAAGAGGTCCCGTGACCAGTACCTGTCCTCTGAGCCCTCATGTCCACTGCACTGTTCAGCAAGAGGGCGGCAAAATACGGCTTAGTGACATCGGCTGAGGAACCAAGAGACTGCTGACCAACAGTTTTCATACCTACCCTACAGTGATCGTACTCAGCACTGCACTAAACGACTCCATAGAAAAAATTCCTACCGTAAAAATACCGCTAATGGTACAGCATGTCACCACCGACAAAGGAATGATCAAGAATCTATACAATGATCCATGATGAAGGGTTATAATAACTTATAGCAAGACGATATACCATACGGGAATTTCAAAGAGGCTTATACCCCTGATGAGCATGCTGCTGCTGCTGTTCTAGATCATCACTACTGCAGGCCACTGTACCCCACACAATACGAGGCTCGTCGTATAATTTCCACGATACTGTTTCGGCAGGGGACGCGAGCTGGACATGTACAGGCTTATGGCCTTTCCTAACATCAATGAGTAACATATCATGGTAGGACTCACTAGTGGTCTGAGTCGGCACACTACAGGGAGTGACGCTTGACTCCGAGGCGTCTTGATCATCTCCGTCCTCGATGAAGGAGTCGGCCTCCCAGAACATGTAGAAATTCGAGTTAAGTACAACTGCTGGCACTGTGAGGCCAAAGTGGTATAGACGCCATATGATAACCGTGAGCCCAGCACCATAGAAAACGTCCAAAGTATAATGAAAATGAGTACATACTATAATCAACAGTGCCATGACACTAAGCAGGGAACCGAAGACCCGCTCCTGTACTGAGGCTGTGTAGTCCATCCAGAACATCATACTTAGAGTAATTGGTATTGAATGACCCGAGTAGAAGACGTCGGCGCAGGTATGGGACAAGCCGAAGGGCATCAGCATCACAGACCAGAACATGCTGCCATCTACGAGTCGAGGGACACATCGCATGTCCGGACTGGGGAGCATAGTCATGGGCACGGACATGGCCCGACCCAGGTAGGAAACTGAGCTCAGGAGGAGTACCCGTTTCAATACGATGAAAGGATGCCCTGGCTTGGAGCCAATGAAAGCCCTTAGGATGGCGATGAGAATCACGACGTTCATAGAGACATCTGCCAGACTAAAGCCAAAGACATCATTCGGAAAATACGGCAAGAATTGGAAGCCTAGGTCTGGGAGGACCACGGGGTGTCGGACCATCCCAGTGACGGGGTCTCGGGGCCATACCCTGCTAGCTCGATACTCCACCCAGACGTTCATCACGGAGTTCAGCATCATTGCTGCAACCCATACCACAATTGCCGGAAGAATGCGGTGATTGGATGGAGGCAACTTGGACGGGGGTTAAAGAGAAACTGATACTCATTGTAGGTTATAGAATTCAGCAGCCTATCTGTACCGGATCCCCAAACCGATTATCCAGGATGGAGAGGTTGGGGCAATTGACCGGAGGAGCAAAGCGTTTACTCAATCAGCAGTGACATCGCTCCGCGCAAGCAGAACCGAACGGGGATCGGCACAGGTTCGAACCGCGGTCATGGTGTTTTTACTACAGCGAGCAGCAGGAACAGGTAGGAGCGGCACACAATGCTTTGGTGAGTTAATGAGCGCTAGAATACGCTAGGACGATCCAGATTGGACTGAACGGGTTTGGGTTTCTCGATGACTATAAAGTCGCTCGTTCGCGAACGTTCATGTTGCAGTTCATCATCGTCCTCCTCAACATATTTGTCCAGCCTTAGATGGCACCGATGCGTAAGGAGCTGTCAGTGGTCGTACCGACCTACAACGAGGTGGAGAATGTTCGCCCTTTGTGCGAAAGGCTATTCAAGGCTTGTCGAGAGGCTGGTCTCACCATAGAGCTCCTCCTGATGGATGATGAGAGTGCTGGATCTGATGAGACTCGGAAGATCGTCAACGTCCTATCTAATGAAGGCTATACCATAAGAATGCACTGTCGCAAGGCTGAGGAGGTACTACTACCAGAGTAAATGAGTATTGATCAGTTCAAGGATGGGGTTTAGGGGCGTGGGTTGTCTTCGGCTGTACTACTGGGTTTTGCGATGGCCAAGTACGACACCATGGTGTGCATGGATGCAGACCTCCAACACGAGCCGGAGTCGGTCCCAGCGGTGGCTGACCCTGTGCTTAGAGGAGAGGCTGAGTTCACGGTGGGTTCCAGGTACTGCGTAAACCCTCTACCATCCACCCTCATGTGAACTCATCAGGTACTGTCGCGATGGTGGGATTGGCTTCCAGTGGTCGCTTATTCGACGTATCATCTCGGAGGGTGCTACCTTGCTAGCCATTGGGGTGGCGAAGTCCAGCGACCCCATGTCTGGATTCTTCTGTACTACTAAGGAGGTCTTCAACCGTGGCCACAACAAGTGCGAGATGTAACTGGGTCTTCCTCAGAGATTCACATTCAGGTGCAACCCGATTGGCTTCAAAATCGGCCTGGAATTGATGGTACGCTGTAATGCGAATCCAGTCGTAGACGTTCCCATCACCTTCCAAGAGAGAGTGGCTGGCGAATCTAAGCTTACTATGAAACAGAATGTAAGACATTTACAACAGGTTGTCCTTCTTAGGTCCCAACACTCCACGAAAGATTCCCTCTTCGTTAGATCTTGTTCGTGATGCTCGCTTTGCTTTTTCATGGCGTAAGGTATAACCCCAGGATTGGTTATTGTTGTCAGGTGCAGTACGTTGAACAGCTGGCGAGTCTCTACTTTGAGAAGTACTTCCTATTCATACTACTTCTACCGCTCCTTATCGTATTCGCCTTGGCCTACTGGAAGGGGTCGATCCAGTGGTAATGAGTGTGTCGGAAAATGTTGGTAACATCAACAAAATTGGAGTCGTTTTTCTTCCAACTCTCTGATGCTACTCTAGTGTTTTGCAGTAGTTGTCAATATGGAGCATGAAGGGAGCGACAAAGCTAAAGTGATGGGAGCTTACTTTAACTTTTTGGTGTCCGTCACTGGCACTGCTCAGGACCAACGTAGGTGATGAGATTGAAAAGTAGTGAGAAGAGGCGGGGTAGTCCTGATTAATCGGCATGAGCTCAGGGGATCGCTGAGGTAGTATGGCTCGAGAAACTCCGAGATCGGCTCGGGGTAGCTGGACAAGGAACTAACTGATGGTGTGGAAGTGACCAAGCAGGTCCCTCGCTATAGTTGGAAATTCTTCCTCTTGCCAGTGGCTTTTCTCCCAACGTACTTGTTAATGACATGCCCACCTTCACGCCTAGTATAGGATGGTTCACTACCGTAACGCCTCCGGCCGATGCTGGGCACGCCGGGGCTGCCAAGAGTCGGGGCGAGGCTACACCTACGAGTGACCCACTGCCCCCACCACTTGTACGCAAACATCGCTCTAGGGGGTGAGTCGCCCTGAGCTGTCGATCTGGGCGACTACGTGGTGTCCTTTGTAGGCCCTCGTCTATGCTACGGCATTACAACTGCTTGCGAACGATGGTGGCTGTGGAGGACGATGCATCGAAATCTGCTGATGAAAATATGCCCACTGCTAATCGCGGAGATGTGCCCTCGGAGGAATCCAAAGTCATTATTGGGGAGGACTTAAACCCTCCCCAGAACGTCGAGCATGAGGAAGCGCCGATTGTCCGTGGGTCGGAGATGCTGGGGTAGGTAGATCGGGCTTCCTGTCCTCATGTACAGGTGGTAGGTAGAGTTGCCTTTCATCAGTGCTCCTTTACGATGTGCTCACTAATGACCACCTCTTTTTTCTAGGCCTCAGCTTGGTGTGGCTAGAGTGGACCAGGAAGAGGCAATGGAAGGTCCCACGACAGTGAAAGTGCCGGTGGGAGTTCTTTATGGACACTCACTCAGCGTGGACTGTCTCACTCAGGCTCGTAAGAGGGCGTCTAAGCGGAAGCGGCAATCGACGGGAGACTCCATTGCTCCCCCTCGGACGGTGCGCAAGGGCCCAACCAGGACAGCTACGATGAGAGACAAGGCGGCTGTCCGCACTGTGACCGCCACCGCCGCCTCGGAGGGGACTGCGACGCGAGGGGATGGGGATCGTATGGTATCGAGTAACTTCGTGTATCAAAATCTGAAGCATAGAGGGTCTTCGAGGAGCAATAAGGACGTGGAGAAAATGAAGAGAAAGATAGGTGGGATGTAGTGTGGTTACCAACCCGAGCAGCTGTACGTCATCAGGCATGGATAACAAGGGCCGCATGAAGGAGGGTGGTAGCGCCAAGAGCGCCATCTTGAATGGAGGGAGAGCGGGTCTTAGGAGGAGGAGAGGAGGAGGAGCACAGCAAGTTGGAGGTTATACCAAAGCTCAGCGGGTACATCGCTGGCTCGAATATGTTGGTCGTGATGGGCATCGATGTGACCAGGCTCGGCTACGTCGTATCGAGCTTGCACAGGAGATGCTCAAATCTCGGCAGTTGGCTGACCAGAGGCTCAGTCGTGGTGGGAGCATACAGGCTGAGGGTACCAGGGGTGTCCAAGGGTGTAACCATAGTGAATGAGTGTAGATCTCGAGGAATCAGCGGCTGCTCCAGTACGGAACACCATTTTCTCGGCTAGTGTGGACGTGGCTAAGTTGGACAGGCTCATGGATGAGCGGGCTAAGAGGCGTGAAGGTGAGTTGAAGGGCTACTGCTAGGCTGGCCTGTATCAACTAGAGAGCTCCTCAGAGGAAGGGGAGGTCCACATCAGCAGTACGCGGATCGTCGAGCCGATGGAGTTACCGCATGTACCGGATGGTGAGGAACTCCAGAAGATGCTTAACGAGGAGTTTGGTCATTGCGATGGATTCCGAGCGGGACAGCAAGAGGCCATCGAGGCTCTCCTTGGGTAAGTGCCCCTCCTTGACTGAAGACCCTCCTCGGTAGTCCTTCTCTTAGTGGTGCCTCTTGCCTCGTCGTACTGCCTACTGGTCAGGGCAAGTCCCTCATCTACCAGTTCGTTGCCAGGATATATCGGTAGTCGCCCCCTAGGTGTCGGTGACCGTCCATTCTAACTCCTCCAGGAAGTATCTTGGTGATCGTGGTGGTGTGACAGTGGTCGTATCTCCTCTGATATCTCTCATGGCGGATCAGCTGAGGCAGCTGCCTAGGTGGGTCTGCCGCTTCCTTCTTTTGAGGATAGGCCTCCCTTAGTTGTGTCCGAGGGGCTACTATCAACTCGACGATGACGCCCTATGAGATGGATGCGGTCCTGCTAGGGGCAGCACAAGGGGAGATAGACCTCTTACTAGTAAATCTATCTCAATCGAAACCTGTATGCTGCGCTCCTCTTAGGTGGCTCCTGAGCGTTTGCTCATGTGGTCCTTCCAGAACGCTCTCCCATTTGTCAACCTGGTGGCCATCGATGAAGCCCACTGTATCTCAGAGTGGAGCCACAGCTTCCGGCCTGCTTATCAACGTATCACTGGTTGGTACCTCCTCAGTGTTGCTCTCGTGTATCGACTTGGGGTGTCTCAGGTGTGATACGGCGGCAGCTCCGGCCAGCCCACCTCTTGGCCCTCACGGCTACGGCTACTTCGCGGACTATTTCCAGCGTGATCAGCATCTTAGGGGGTATCGATATCACCGTCCGCGCTGACGGTGTGGTGGAGAGGACTCTCGGAAGCCTCCAAACGCCAGAGGTGGAGGAACAAGAAGAGGGCTCAATGGTCCTCCGAAGGAACCTCCGGCTCTCGGGCTCTCCAACGTTGAACCCCTTGCAAAGCCTTCTGGAACTCCTACACACGTAAGTGGCCTTCCATTGTGCCCATTTCCCCTAGTACCCCCGGTAGGTCTGAGTACCGTCCCTTGTCGAGTATCATAGTGTATGTAGCCTATCAGTGGCAGACTGAACAGGTTGCCCACGCAGTGGGAGTTAACTTCAGTCTGGGGTTCGCTCAGGTCGCACGGCTGCTGTGTCAGCGAGGGGTCAGGGCGGGGGCATACCACGGAGGCATGTCGAGTATCGAGCGGAACGAAGTACAGGAGGCCTTCATACGGGGAGGAGGTCAAGCCAGTGGTGGTGGCATTCAAGTCATTGTAGCCACTGTGGCGTTTGGAATGGGTGGGGTCTTGGACTAGCCAAGGTTGGTCGTTCTTCTCCCTTGATAGGTATCGACAAATCCGATGTCCGTGCGGTGGTCCACATGGCCTTGCCTCGCTCACTGGAGAGCTACGTTCAGGAGACTGGACGCTGCTGCAGGGACGGCTACGAGTTTGGTCGGTCTCTGGACACCAACGTCTCTGCTATTATCTCTACTGGTCTTCAGGCCTCTGCCACGTATTGATCTGCCATCAAGACTACGCCAGACTGCGGCGGGCAGTATTTTCCGATAGTTTGGACCCCCTCAGCGTTGGATCCCTGGTCGGAAGGATCCTGTTCGGATCCCATCAGGGCTCAAACACTACCGACAGGCTGGAGCCCTTTGGATCCTGTAGGCCCCTCTTCTCTCGGTGGTACACACTCATCGTCTTAGGTACCTGTGTGGCTGCATCGACTGACGAGGCTCCGTTTCGCTTCGCTTTCGTAGATGAAAAACAGGGTGCCCGTGAGCTAGATTGTAGTAAAGTAAGATGCCCTGTCGTTCGCCTATGAGCACAAATCATAGCGTCGTATCATTCAGGAGCAGCTCACATTCCTTCTCGGCTCATTGGAATCGGCCGGCCAGGGTGTTAGGGCTGTTTTCCACGGTTTCCCGAGCAAGGTGAAACTGAGGTTCTTCTCCAAAGACCCAGAGACAGTGTAAGGGATCTCTCGACCGTTAACATCATCTGGTCGTTTTGATATCACTTGGTGGTCCGCTACAGGACGCGCCTCCTATAAGTATCTCTCAGAGCACGTGAGGATCCTTTCATACGGGCCTTGCTAGCTCCAGAGGAAGCTCTGTCTACTGCTGAGGCCACGGAAGAAGGTAAGATGGCGGTTTACTAGTCCATCACTGTGGCCTGCCTAAGGCGGCTGTCCTCGCCAACAGGCACTGAGCAGGCCGTGACCATCACCGTCCCCTGCCGAACCGGAGTCTATACCATTGACACGCGCCTCGCCCTACCAACCTTAGCAGCTACCTCAGGATATGCCTCCATCACTCCTCCTGACTTCATGGTGGGTACACTGAGGGGTCCTGAGACTACTTGTGATGGTCGCCTCAGCGGAGGCTCCATGACGCCCAACGCAAGTGGCACTTTGCTGTGGAAAAACAGGAGTACTGCCACGTTATCGCCATGGGGGGAAGGGTTCCCTCTGAGGCCAACCATGATCGAGAATCAATCCCTTGTGTTCGTCGCTTGGCTGCAGCGTTGATATCCCAGGTGGGCTGGTTTAAGTATTTCATTGAGCTCATTTCTCTTTATCAGGTTCGAAGGCATCAAGACCATCAGCTGGTGAAGGTAGATGCCTGTTATCTCGTTCTAAGGAGGATTGCTGCTAACGACAACGGGAAGGACCCTCTCTTCGGCCATCGCCTCATCCAGAAGTATACCCCTCAATGAGTCCTACTTCGAGTCAAGTCGCTAGTTACTTTTCGTTGGCATCGGAGGGCTGTGAAGAGGAACTCCTCCTGAGCCTCGCCGATGGCGATCGAGCAGAGCTTCGGAGGGTTCTTGGCCCAGCAGCGGTGCCACACGAACAGGGAGATACCACTGAGCGGACAGCGAGGGAGTGGGAGTGTGATGAGAAGTAGGTCACTCTTTGCTCGTACTGTGGTGGCGAGACCATGGGTCAGCTACAGCAGCGACTTCAATTGGGTGCGAGGGGATCTGGAGGGTCTCCTCTCGGGTGGTATGGTGAAGGCCCTCGACCCTATCGTCTATGCGAACGATACCGCAGAAGAGCCGTTCTGGATGGAGGACTCTTTGTGGTCGCCTAGTGCAGCGGCAACCCCGACGTCTATTGCTCGCATACTCCAGGTGAGTGCTGACTCTAGTGTATGTTGACGGACGAAAGCCTTCAGGGTATACCCAGCCCAACGTACCCCACCAAGGCGTGGAAGGATACCCCCTACTGGGGACGTCATGAAGCCTTGCCATTCGACGTCTTAACAAGTACCCTGCAGTCGCCTTGATTGATCCTTGGACCCCTTTCAGGTATGATATCAGCTGCGATGCGCGGGCGGTGTTCTCGATGATGCATGCATCGTTATCCTTTATCAATCCGGGTTTGAATCGAACCCGTGTAATTATCTCATGAAGCCTTTTCTGCACTCCAAGAGTTGTTGCTTTTATTGAGTTTTCAACCCAACCTCCAACAGTGACACGCAGCCTAGCGGTGGGGAAGGGTCAACTCGTTATTATACTTAACACATCAAACGACAGGATTACAAGTCCCCGTTGTTCAGTGGAATCTGCTCTCGAATGTCGTCCATCCCCAATCCTTAGTTCGTTCGAGCCCTCTCGTAAGCCTCTCCAAGTCGCGCGTTTCGGTCCGGTCCTCCTTGTCATCGTCCATGGCTGCCTTGTCCTCGGGGCCAGCTGCTGGGTGTGATGCGAACACGGACTCTCCAGATGGCATCAACTTTCATTCGAGGGCTAGCACTCCACTGCGACATGGATGGCTCGTCGCGGCGTTATAGTCACTTGTGCAGTCCTTCGTTTTGTGATTCTTAAAAAGGGGTTATGCCTGTGGGGACCTGCACGGTCTCTCAGCGCCGAGACGTTTGCGACTGCTTTCGTTGGCAGCCGCGACTTGATTATTGGTCTTAGGTATTGAGCGAGTGCAATGGTCGGGAAGGTATCCTCGAGGATCCTTCCCCCTATTCTTGGGTGACTACTTCAACCGTCCAGTCACACAAGAGGCAATACGCTACTCCCAAAAGCGACGCAACATCTGCTTGGTTCACAACTGCGCACGACCACATGTTACAACTAGCAACTCGGCCTTTCATGCTGTTGGTCAGGAGGGACGACGAACTGAGATGAACGGGTGTACACATACGCCGGAAGCATCAGCACGCTACGCTGTCACCAACATGACTCACCTGCCACACATTCTGAGGCCCATGTCGTCGCAGAGCGTAGTCCCCAGTAATTTCACCTGAACAGCAACTCACACTCAGAACCCCTACACGACGTACCTTTTTTCTCTGAGATCATATTGTGTGTCTTGTTAGTGGAGTAGTAGCAGTGCGCATGCACTTCATTCTCTGCACCAAAGACATTCATCTGTTTGATCTTATCGGAGGCCAGGAAACTCCCTGAGTCGATCGATGAGCCCATCGCTGATAGCATCGCGCAAGTACCCGAGGAAGCGTGCTTGATCACAACAGGCTGGTCAGACTTGATCGGCACTCCATCGGTCTCGAAACGCATCTTGCCGTCAGGATGGAGGAACTGTGAATAGATGCTGTTGGCTGATGCATGATGCAAGACAGTCATCTCTTACCTGCCATCTCGTGTTGCCTGCCGGTTCATCTAGAGCTCCTACTTCCTGTTTACGGCTGGACTTAGAGGCAGCCAAAGCAGAGACCATCTCACTGTAGAGATAACAGTCCCTAAGAAGCACTCCGAGGGACGATCGTATACTCTACAACTCACCTGTCCGGGACGAAGCCGGAAAGCACTAATCTCACCTCCTCACCATAGCAAACAGGAGCATCAGGATCTTCAGAATTCACGACTTCAACCGCGAAAACGTTGCGGATGCAAGGAGTGGCATTGCACCCTGCAAGAGTATGAGGCGACACGAGATAGAAAGGACCCACCAGTGGTAACTGCATATGCACCTCCTTTCCTGCCATGTATAAGGTCCTCAGCATTGGCACTGAGAAAGCCCTCCGTGGCCGCATTCTGCAGCATCACCGTGTCACCTGCGCAAGGTATGAGGATCCAGTAACGACTAGACTTCCAGCACCCCCACTCCGTAAGCTCATTGACACAACTATAGACCGACGATTCCCAGGCCTGCCTCATGAGCTCACCGTTTCGTAAGATGCCGTCGCTGCCCTTCAACCTTGCCGCCGAGGGTCGCAGTGCTCGCTCTAGCATCAACTGTTTCGATATCACAAGCAGATCACCTGTCTCCTTTTTCGATACGTATCTGATAGGAACTCAAAAGGCTCCTTGAAGATGGGCCTTACTCTTTCATCCTCAGCTCGTTGAGCTCGACCTCTTCACACCAATTGCCAATGCGGCAAGTTGGTTTATAGCGGGGACCCCCGCACAGCTGCTGGGTGGTGAATTGCATCCTTGCACTGAACTGAAGGTCACACAGAGCGGTAGAGATCCCCTAGAGTAGCTGATCGTCACAAGAGAGGGTGCAAGTCATGAGGGCAGTGACTAGGCTGTCCTCCCAGGCAACTCAACACGGTAAGCGGCCACAAACTAACACCTACGATCGTGATACTGTCCTGCGTGCACTATGAGCATGTTATGAAGAGAATCTCCGTGACGGCCTCATGCATGAGCATCCATCGCCAGCAGACAACACAGTATCTGCTATGTCGCTCAACACTCTTGCGTAGGGGTGCACCCCATCATCCTGTAGTCTGCCAGACACCCATTGAGGCACCCAATGCATCGGCTGTACAGCCCAGTGGCATTGGTCATGTACATCCACCGGACCGCAGGTACGCCAGGCCTTATTTACCAGGGGCTCCGGCGGAGCGTAGCAGCTGCAGTGGATCCCACTAACTATGATGCTCCCACATCTAGTCAGAGGCGCGTACAGTCCTATTAGTCTAGGCCTACTGTCCAGGTCCGGCAGCGATCGAATCAGTGTCACTTGCACCCAATGGGTGGTAGGGAGCACTGGGTTGCCGAATGTCTTCCTAACAACATCACCCGAACGGATGTTCTTAGCCGCAGTACCGCCCTTGTCTCGGAGGAAAACGAGATGATCGCCCGACAGGCGCAACGTCCTGCACTCCTCCTCACTACTGTCCAGGGCCTCAATCTCGACACACGTATCGGACTGCCATTCAAACTCCGGCTCCCGATGAAGCCACGAGATGATCTCACTGTATACCAGAGAGTTATCTACCACCGACAGGACCTCGTCGCCTATATCCAGTTGAGATATTTTGATGAGACCTGAAATCGCACAAGTCGGCCGCTTGGGACTATCAAAACTGGAGCATGTATTTCCTCCACATCCCAATCGTCTCATCGAAACGCCACCTTTGTTTTTCTCAGTGACCGTGTTGTCTCCAGCAAAGCATGCGGGGAAGCCGTACTTCTTGTCGTGTGCCTGTTTCATCTGGTGAGATTTCGTCTTCATCTTCTCTGAGACGGGAGCCCATGGTAACCGTAAGGGGCACCGCAACGATGGGGATATTCACGTACGCATTGCTCCAAAGAAGGCCTCCTTCTTGTGAAGATCCTCTCCGACAGGGATATGTCTATCATGATGCGTGCCCGTTCCGTGGCTACCAAAGGCACTAGCGGAATGCGGAGCTCCATACTCATCCGGAAAGGATACGGGAACAGTCATGTCTAACTAGATACAAAGAACTCCGGAGAATTGACCAACCCAAGTTATGGATCCGCCTGGGGAAACAACCTCTGCCTGCCACATTAGGCACAAGACCTCTATGAGAGCGGCGACTCGGACATTCAACTTGAATGCTACACGGCGAACGGAGCCATAAGTACATATCATGAGGCCATCATAGCCTCAGGAGAGTTGCATGACAGGTGTTGGTCGAATGATCGGTTATTGTTGTCCGCCCCGCATGGCTGCTACCGCTCCCGATGACCAAGCACTCGGCGGGTCTCTGCCACCCGGTGCTGACATGTCACTCACATCGGCCACTCCTTGGCTATTCGGGAAAGGGGGCGTGGGACTGAATGCCGACCGCGGCAGTGTACCTGAAGATACCGGGTATCCAAAACCGTAAGGCCTTTCCCAGGACTGACCTCGTTCGTTCGAACCCTCCCTCGGTCGTGGAGCCAACATAGTCGAAGCATCGCGTTTAACTCCAGCTAGAGGTGGGGGTGGACCGTACCCTAGAGTCGCAGCATGGGCTGCAGCAGCTGCGAGGGCGTCCACTCGGGCCGCCTGGGCTCGTACAGATACCTACAGAGGCGTAGAGGCATGTATACTCATCGTAGACTGTACCTGATGCCATTCATCGTCCGATCGATACACACATTCCCCCGGCCGATCGACTTGACGTATTCGCTCGAACAAACCGACGTATTTCTTGGGGAAGTGTAAACCCAATTGCACTCTGTCATCTTGACATTGGACGACCCCAACACCTGGAAAGGACCTAAAACGATATATCCGACAACGCGGCACCGGAGATAAAAAATGGAGAAAAGAGGTTCTATCGGGATTCGAACCCGAGTCGCAGGATTCAAAGTCCTGAGTGCTAACCAACTACACCATAGAACCAG